CTCGTCTTGATCTCTGGTACTCTGGCAGGCACGTCCGGAGGGATCGATTCTGTTGCTTTGTTTCCTGTGCGCGTGTTTTCGGCTCGTGTCCATCAGGCGTTGGACGATTGAAGGTGTCTCTTTGATCTATATCTCACGGCGATGCATCCCTAGCGCCTATAGCATTATTTGGCGTATTCGGCTTGATCAGTGTATGAAAATCCCGTCGCGGTTACGCTGGCCAGGTGCCTGGGTTTGCTTTGCTGTGGCATTCTTGTTATTGTCATTGCCATCGTTTAGATAGTCATGTACTGGCCTGAATTATACTCCCTATATGTATCATGGTTCAGTTTATATTCCATGCATATTCTCATTGTTTCAACACTTTGCGACAGTTATATGAACGATCGTACGGGACAAGCACGGTCAGCTTCCACTAAAACCAGTTATCAGTTCTCATTGAACCGGCGCCTGAACGACCTCGGGACGGAACCAGGCCCTAGAACGTGGAAATCGTCGGTAATTTCAGTCAATTCGAAAAGCGAATAATATTAATGAGGGAGAATAGAGCCTGTAGTTGCATGCAAGTTCACATGGCATCTCCCCCTCGAGTACACCGAGACGCTTGGATGATGTCAGTGCGCTGAACCTGCTTGGATCCCCACCCCCAAAACCCTGGAAATGGACCATAAGCGCCCGGAAATAGACCAGAAATGGACTGGGTTCGCGGTCCAGACTTTGTAGTACGTAGCTTATGGGCATGATAAGACTGGCTATCATGCAACGGGTGTAGCTCAATTGGTCTCACAAGGCACTTGCAGCTCCTCTCTTGCTGCACCCTTTCCCTGCTCTCGTCCCTCTTAATCTCGCCATCTCCCCTCCCCCCCCCTTCCTCATCCTCTTCCTGTTTCTTGACTATTGCGACTATGGTCCTCATCGACAAGCAGAGCTACACCTCGCGCGAGGAACAGCGATTGAAGGAGGATCGCGAGCGCACCCGGTACTGGAAACGATGGGGCCCTTATGTCTCAGAAAGACAGTGGGCTACCGGTAAGTCTTTCTAAATAGCTACATTTTTCTATCAATCATCGGTGCTCGTCATGGTATAATGATGAGAGGGGTTTGGGCTAACCCATTGCTTTCCAAATTCTCCGCAGTTCGCGAGGATTATTCGTGAGTCTCACATCCGGTTTTCTTTCTTGCCCCTCCCACCTATCCACTCTATGGCTCTAGCCTCCTTTCCTCCTGTGCAATGCCTGTAATGACGCATTGGCATGCATTGACTGACTGACCTATCACTGCTAGAGAAAATGGTGATGCTTGGAGCTGTAAGGAATTCTTTTCCTTCCCACCCTTGAACCCCGCGGGGCGGACTACCGACTGATCGGTTCTAGACTTTACCCACGACCACGCCCGCTCGCGAGCATTCCGCTGGGGTGAAGATGGAATTGCCGGCGTGTGCGATACGCATAACCTACAGAACGTTGCGTTTGCCTTCTGGAACGGAAAAGAGTACGTTTCGTCCGTGGACCTGCATATGGTCCCAGTCGCGACCGCGCTCTAACGGCTCATCTTTATAGTGGGTTCCTTAAAGAGCGACTATTTGGTCTATCGAATCCACAGGGAAACCATGGTGAAAGTGTCAAGGAGGCCCATTTTCACGTCGACAACACGCCTACGGTATGTCCGCTTCTTAGTCCGAAAGGGTGTCGGATTTCTTCTAATAGTTTTACATTACAGCATTCGTACATGAAATATCTCTATAAATACCCACAGAAAGAGTTTCCCTATCAAGACCTAGTTGATGAGAACGCTAAACGGGGAAGGTTGGACCGCGAGTATCAGATACTCGACACCGGCGTCTTTGACGATAACCGGTACTGGGACATATTTATCGAGACGGCCAAGGAGGATGACGACGAAGACGAACTTCTATTCCGTGTGATAGCTTACAACAGAGGCCCAGAGCCCGCTCCTCTGCACATCATTCCGCATGTGTGGTTTCGGAACACTTGGTCGTGGGGCTATGAGAACAGCCAGAAGCCTTCCATCCAACAGAACGCTCCTCTTTCTGTCAAAACGAACCACGAGAAGCTAGGGCAGCGATATGCCCGATTTGCCCCATCCCCGGCAGTCGGTGACGGTCAGGAAGACGTCGTGCCTCAGATGTTATTCACGGAGAATGAGTCGAACAATGAACTACTGTGGGAGACTAAGAATGACCAGCCTTACGTGAAAGATGCTTTCCATCGTTACATCGTCGAAGGGGAGAAAGACGCAGTCAACCCAGCCCAGAAGGGCACCAAATTCGCCGCCTGGTATTCTTTCAATGAGGGCGAGGGAGTCCCTCCTGGCGAATGTGCCGTTGTCCGCTTTCGCTTGTCGGGGAGACCCGAGCCGTTCGTGGATGAGGAGGTGCTAGATGATGTTGTCGAGCAACGCAAGGCGGAAGCCGATGACTTCTACTACCACATCAGCCCTCTACCGATGAGCGATGATCTGCGAAACATCCAGCGCCAGGCATTTGCTGGTATGATGTGGACAAAGCAGTATTACCACTTTGTCTGGGAGCAATGGGCCAATGGTGATCCCGGTATGATTGCACCTCCCCCTGGGCGGAAGAACGTCCGTAATCAGCATTGGAGGCATCTTTACATGGATGACATCCTCTCAATGCCGGACTCGTGGGAATACCCATTCTTTGCTGCCTGGGATACGGCTTTCCATTGTATTCCATTAGCTATGATCGACCCAGAATTCGCAAAACGGCAGTTGGATGTCTTGACTCGAGAGTGGTATATGCATCCGAACGGCCAATTAGCAGCCTATGAATGGAATTTTGGGGACGTCAATCCTCCTGTACATGCATGGGCCACTTTTAGGGTTTTCAAAATGGAACGGAAAATGTATGGTCGACAGGATCTGGATTTTCTTGAGAGGGTCTTCCAGAAACTACTCCTAAACTTCACATGGTGGGTCAATCGAAAGGACTCTAGCGACAAGAATGTTTTCGAGGGTGGCTTCCTTGGACTTGATAATATTGGGCTTTTCAATCGCTCCGAGCCTCTTCCGACGGGAGGGGTCTTAGAACAAGCTGATAGCACCGGTTGGATGGCTTTCTATTGCCTGAACATGCTGAACATTGCCCTGGAGCTTGCCAAGCACCGACGCATTTACGAAGACAGTATGCTTCTCTGCTACACATGGTGGTTATTGGCTAACCTGGACTAGTTGCTTCGAAGTTTTTTGAACACTTCATTCTAATTAGTGATGCCATGACCTTTAGATCGGGAGAGGAAGAGAGTTCCCTGTGGAACGATGAAGACGGGTATGCTACACACGTTGACGTTCATGGTAATGAAATATCTAACACGTATAGGTTCTACTACGATGCTATTTCGTACGGCAACCCATGGATACAGCAGCTTCCTGTGCGGTCCCTTGTTGGCCTGATCCCATTATATGCCGTAGCAACGCTTGAGCCAGAATTGATCAACAAATTTCCATCCTTTAAACGCCGACTGGAGTGGTTTGTCGAGAACCGTTCGGACGTGGCGGAACGAAACATTGCAAGTATGAAGCGCCGAGGAAAGGGCGAACGACTCCTCTTAGCCCTGGTCAGCAGAGACCGCCTAGAGAAAATCCTCAAGCGTATGCTTGACGAGACTGAGTTTCTCTCTGAGCACGGAATCCGGTCAATGTCCAAGTACCATGGAGAGCACCCGTACTCCATGGATGTCAACGGCCAGACGTTCCAGGTTAATTATGTTTCCGGTGAATCAGACAGCGGCCTCTTCGGTGGTAATAGCAACTGGCGTGGACCAGTCTGGCTGTGTGTTAATTTTCTACTTATCGAGTCCCTTCTACGGTTCTACATGTTCTACGGAGACTCCTTTAAAGTTGAATGTCCCACCGGCTCGGGAGACTACATGCACCTAGGCCAGGTAGCAGAAGAAATCCAGCACCGACTGCAACACCTTTTCGCGCGCAACGATGAGGGGCGACGCGCTGTCTATGACGGCTCCAACGTACTGGACTTCGACGAACACTGGAAAGACTACATGTGGTTCCATGAATACTTCGATGGCGACACCGGCCGCGGCCTTGGATCCTCGCACCAATGCGGTTGGACAGGGCTAATCGCCAAAATCATTCACGATACAGGGTATGCGCATCCTTTCCACTTCCTCACTTTGTAAACAACTTCATACTAACACCTAAAATAGAGTCAATTGCCGCCTTCCCCAGACACCGCGTTCCCCCTTCGCCGCAGCAAGCCACTACTTCGACGACATCTTCACCCGCTCTGTCCGCGACAGTCGCCGCGGAAGTACCAAGGACAACAGACCCTTCATTCGCCGCTCTTCGACCAGCCGTTCGATCGGCAACAGAAGCGACTTTGAGTCTGCCTTCACGACTCCCGCACCTCAAACTCCCCATGAAGCTACATTCAATGACGAAAAGGAGAAGAACGAGGACGAACAGCCGGCCAATGGGGCTTCCGGGCAGGGCTTCGATGACCATGTCTCGCATTATGTGGAGAGTCAGCTGCAGAGAGTGAGGAGTCAGGCGTCAATGGGTGCTTATGAAGATGAGTTTGAGACGCAAGTCGATGGGAATGGTAATGGAAATGGAAACGGAAATGCGGCTAATGGTAGATAATCCATTGATTTGCCTGCCGTTCAGGCGGGAAATGGTATATACGAATGAATCGGTGGATTCGAGAACGGGCATATACATATAGTTGTAGAGTTGGACGGAGCTGAGTTGTGACTTGTTCTAGTTGATTTGCTGTTCTTGTCGTCCTTTGATTTTTGCCTGTTTAGAATACATGAGTCGATAGCTTGACATGTTATCTTAGAGCCGAATTTGCAATCTAAATTGGAATACATAATGCAAGAGGTGAATCTGCTCTGTGCTTTGATATCTAACCATCTTGTTACTTTCTACTTAACCAGCTTATTCTACCCAGGAGTTGTACGAAAAACACAATTAAAAAGAACCAACGCAACTCAACTGTCTATTCTCCACCAAACTCAAGTCCAAGTCTCATTCAATGGACTCTCGCGTAGTGCAGCGTGATGCTAGGGTACATAGTGTAGGAAGAAAAGCTATAGATGGTAGATATAGGAACAACAAAAGAGACACGATACGATGCGTAAAGGGGATGTAGGGTGTTGTTAATTTACAAAGCATCGGTAAGGGCCTTGTTGAGCTTGGCGATCTTGGAGGAGACGCTCAGGTCAATGGTGCGGTCGCCAATTTCAACGACGAGTCCACCGACGATGTCGGGGTTGACCTGTAGTTTTGGGAGTCAGTATAAGTTCCATTTATTTCTTACACTTCGCCTTTCTTTTTTTTTTATGCGACATACCTTGGGGACAACCTTGAGCTTCTTGCCCTGGCTGAACTCGGACTTGGAGACGGCCTTCTCGAGACGGGTGATGGTCTTGTTGTCGAGCTCCTGAATTACATCGCGTTAGCATCACCGACAAAAACATATCACGGAATAAAGATGTTTGAGGGGTAAATACCTGAGCACTGGTGATAACCAGCTCGATCTCACCGCGGTGAGCGCTCATGAGGGCACCGAACTTGTCAACGACCTCGTTCAACAGACCGAGACGGTTGTTCTCAGCGAGTGTGCCAAGGAAGTTCTTGACAAGGTCACCCTTGTCAGCAGCGACCTTCTGGAGCTCCGTGACGATGGCCTGCTTGTCGGCGGCAGTGAGGGTAGGGGTGGAGATGATGCCGGTGAGCTTGGGGTCGGCCTTGAGGGCAGCACCGAGGTTGTTCAGGGCCTTGGAGGTGGCATCGAGGGAGGAAGCCTTGGCGGAGGCAGTGTACTATTTGTCCAATTTCAAGTCAATTATCACGATATATTTGGATGTTGACGCTTGCATTTGCCCGGATATTTGGATTGGGATGTTGAAGGGTTTTCGGTTCAACGGATGGCGCCGAACTAGTTATCCAGGCGACTTGGAAGGGGGAAGCATACCAGAGCAGTGGCGTAGGTGCCGTCAACGCCGAAGAGAGAAACAGGAGGCTTGACTTCCTGGGCCGGGGTAGCGTAGGAGCGCAGGCCGTTGACAGCAGCAGTGCGAGGAACGGAGATCTGCTGAGCAGAGGCACGGAGGCCGGCGCGGGCGAGACGAGCGGAGAGCATGGCGATAATTGACGCGAGAGACGAGGCTCCGACAAACAGGAAGAATTAGGTAGAGGGGGCGTAGAATTGGACGCGATACGGCGAAGACGGTCGACACACAAGAGGGGTGCAAAGCGACGATGCTATTCGGATGAGGTCCAACTTCTCCCGGTCCCGGGTCACGTGAGATTCCGCACACGCCGAGAATTTCGGGTCAGTTTACAGCCAACTACGAATTGTTACAGTCGTAAGTTTACTACTGCTTGGAGTACGACAAGAAATTGTCTCTTTTACGTGATGATCGCTATCTCTTATTTTTCAATGCTCAACAGCCGATCTAACTAGCAAATCATGCGAATATTATCCTGCGCAACACCTAAACGCCAGACCCTGTGCATTCGTTTTCGTTACCACTAACCGTAATTGACTTTCTCAATCACTTCGCAGCATGCTGTCCACCAGGTCTCCCAGCGGTCCCCAGAAATCCTTTCCGCTTGCAAGCCGATGCTCATCGATGAAGAGAACATAGTGCTTGAAGCTGGTGTTAAGGTGTGGCTCGAGGCCCAGGTGAACAATCACGGGGTAGTGGTGACAGTAGATGTGAGCATACACACGGTACATTCGTTTGAAAATCTGGCGGACGAGACTGGAAAATGGCTTCGGGAACGGGACACCTGGTTATCCTCACGTTAGACTGCTGGCCTACTGTAGTGGGGGAATTTGAACCTCGGTACCTAATCGACTAGGGAACATCTGCTCGTTGTCGATATTTCCCTGAACCCAGCTCATGAGATGCTCAATATACTCGGGCGCAGACATCTTCGTCGGGCGCTTATAATTCTCCGAATCCTGCCAGAGATACTCGAACCTATTAATCGGTCAGAATGACACGGTCACGATTGAACCGAAGTGAAACTCGTACTCATCGGTCGCTTTCATCTCGGGGCATGTCTGTGGCGAGCAAAATTCGGTGATAGCTCCGTAGAGAAGGTTTATCTGGTTGTAGAAATCGACCACTGCAAAGCAGGAAGGTTAGCATACAACACCAAGTGCTATATAAGAAATGAACGCACCATTGACAGCTAGCCACTCATTAACATCTTCGCCCTCGGGGAGCTTTACAGCCTTCCGTAGGCTTCCACTCCCAAGCGTGGCTTCCGCAAACTGTCTCAATTGATAGCTAGTAGTGCCCTTGGCCGCTGAGCGCGGCTTGAAAGGCGCTCTCGTGCGAGCATTGCTAGGAGGTGTTAGTACACACAATCCCTGTTTGAGCGCACGAACAGCAGGCGATAGGTACGAAGGTGGTTCAGAGAGGGGGGAATTGGAAACATGAACAGTATTGTATGATGTAGAAGGGACAGAGGCTTTAGGTTTCTTGGGTGGTGATGGCGATAGACGAGGGGCAGGCTCGTCGGCAGAGGAAATAGATATGGAGGGGACGGACATTGTGGTGATGAATGAAGCCATTACTGTCTCACGGTTTATCCTCCAGCTGAAACAATAAAGAGCGATTTCCACGGCGAAGGGGTTGGAATTCCTCCTGCCTTGATTGATGTCCTTACGGAATTCCACTGGTCGTTCGAGCGAAGATCGGACGTTTCGTGGGGAGCGATTGTCGCCTGCGTGCATTCCAATGAAGATAGAGTTGTTAGAAGTGTCAGTTTTTTGAATTTCAGAAGTGAACTTACTGCGCGCCCAAGGAGTGTGAGAGGATGATGCGGTGTCGAGCTGAGGGGCGATCGATTGACTTAGATGAGCGGGAAGCAGATGGCAGTCGTAGGGACCGGATCACACTCAGTAATTACCTCCGTAAAGCTGAAAAGAGGAAGGCGCCGAGAAACCAGGGATAAGAACTCTCAAAAGGAAAATCAAATGTATCTTGAAAAGAGTCGCATACCAAGTTCCTGCATGGATCTCCCCCACGATCGGAGCCATGGATAAGTGAGATCCGCCCGCTCGTTGCCCCGGTGATGTGTGATGATGATAACACACAATCAGATGTTCACCAGCGCTCCAGATGATATACAAATGGACATTGCGCTAAGTACTACTATATACTTGATTATTCCACATATTCAACGTCATGATTCATGGAGCAAGGTATTGAGGTCTATATAGAGTGTCCTTCGTTCTCCTCCGGCAAGCGCTCCCGCACCGTCTCTCCGTAGATCGTAATTGGTATCGCAACCTCGAAGGACTCGCAGCCAAGATGCTCCAAAGCTGACAGTGTAGATCCCCGATCGTCCTCAGAGACTGTTTCGAGCAACCGGGCACCCGAAGGCCCGGATCCCATCTCAGGCGGGACACCAGTAGTTACAAACTCCAACCGTAGTTCCCAGTCGACATTAACGCCGCTAGTCAGTATCGTGGGTGTGGCGGAAATCGGGACCGCTGGGCTGAACACGACCCGCGTAGAGTAAAGGGTAATCTCAAAGAAAGATGCATGGACTCGGCGAGTTGCTCGCCGAATACTAGCGCCAGATCGTACAGCCAAATGTGCCCCAACTTTCTCGGAGCTTTCTAATGTGGCTCTGAGTGCATAGCACGGAAGCGCCGCATCAGCTAAGTTGACTGTTGCAATGAGAGTCTCGCCGAGTCTGTGTGCTGGTCGGTTGAGCACTACCACAGCAATCCGACGTCCGCCTCGCGCAATCTCGAAACGATTCGGGCTCTGGGAGGAATTAATCGTCTGGTTACTCCGAAGAATAGCAAAGTCAATAGCATCTTTGCAAGATATTGGCCCCGCAGTCGCATCATAGCTTGGGCGTCTTTCAGCAAGTGTGCCTGGTGGTTTTAGAGAACTGTTGCGGGATCGCTGTTCCAATATTTCATCCACGTATGATAGAAATTCGGGCGCCGATGTCCACATAGGCCGGCTTATGCTCTCGGCCTTTGGTGTTATTTGGGGAATAGAGCCAACTTTCTGCACCCTAGCCTCGTCGCGAAGGAGCACATAGGGACGCATCAGGTCATGGCCCAGTATATTTCCTTGAGCTGTACGACATTAGCGGGGCAACAATGTCAAGAGACAACGGTGAATAATGTTACTTACCGTTTACACCGCTGAAAACACGGAACGGTATACTGATGCGGTTGACCTTTTGAGGCTCGTTGCTTCCGCTAGGTCGCTGTGTCCCAATGACAAGGTTATAAGATATCTTTATGGCCTTCCCTTTATGGCTCGCTGGGAGACCGCTAGGTAGGGTGAAGGCAAAGGAGAAGGATTGTTCCTCCCCCGGTGCCAGACGAAGATCGACGAAGAGAAGTGATTGAGGTGTGGACAACAAGGGGATCGATTTCGACGAGGACACCCCTCGCATGTCCCGCAGCCCATCCAGCTCATTGTTAGAAAGCAACCCACTGATAGATTCTTCTATCGAGTTCCAGTTCAATGCGCCCCAAAATCCACCACCTTTCTTGTTTTTGCCGCTAGATGAAGCAGGCCTCCCGTTCGGCGCAATGCCACCATTCCCTGCACCGCCGACCACGCCTTGCCGCTTAACCTCGTCGAAGGCGGATTGGTTGATCAACGAGCTATCTACCGTGAACGACGCGCTTATTTGGGCATAACCCATGAGCAGCGCCTGGCCTTTCGAGATTGGCGCCGATGACTCCATACTAGACATGTGTCGGCTATGGCGCGGAAAACCTGCGCGCGGCATAGGACCCGAGTAGTTGGTGTATTCTGATTGCAGAGTTTCGGACGACATGTTGCTGGCGGAGTAGAATTCACCGCTGCTTCTATGGCTCCCACTTAAACTAGAAGCCGAGAGAATTTTCGACTGCGGCATCTGACCCGGAGCTGCCAACGAAGAAGAATCCTTGACGTCTGATCTTGCTGTCGCAGGTGTTGCAGTAGGCCTGTCGGTTGAGGCTGTTGCAGGCGAATGTCCCGAGCTCGCTTCGTTTTCTGAGGGTGGAGGAAATTTGAAATCTATAGGTGGTAACTGAGGTCTTCGCCCTGGTGTGCGTGCCGGTGGGGTTGGTCTTATAGGACTGGGACCCCCAGATGCAGCACCACTGGGTCTTAACGCATCTGTATCTACCCTCAGCCCGCCTTGGAGTGGTTGAATAGGCGACTCCGATGGTGGAAATCCACGACTTGGGCCCCGAAAGCCTATTGAAACAACATTAGCCTAGTCGTCGTATAGCCCATAAAATGATGTGAATACCTTTCGCGCTATCTTCATAACCTTCATATCTCCTTGGTACGACTTGCAGACTTGCGGAACGTCCATGACCCCTCGCTGGTCTGGAATGGTTCAATTGGGGTGTTCGCGGTGTTTTATCGTTTGCGACATTTGGGTTTCCTCCTTCGCTATCAATAGAAAGTATAGATACCGATCTTTTATGTTTGTGGCCGGCTGGGGGCCCATTCCGCGGTGTAGAGGGAGGTGGAAAGCTGTGAGAGCCGATCAACGGTGAACTCACGGAGGACGAAATGCGGTGAGATGGGCTCTGTCTAGGGATACTCGGATAGGAGCGACGATTGGGGCTTTTGAAGGGATTAGAAGGGAATCGGAGAGAGAATGAATCTGAACGGGGGGTGAGGGCGGTCGTCCGGGACTGCCTCCTCAGATGGGGGGTCTGCGGCGCATTGCTCGTGTCTTCGGGCTTCTCCGCAACGTTCTTGAAAGTAATTGTGCATTCCACATCTTCCCCAGCAAAAATAGATTGGTCTTTCCATTTCACGAAGACCTGGATGTCCGATGACATGGCGAACGACGGAGAATCACCACATTCGCGGAGGATTGTGAGCTAGAATGAGGGAGCTTGGACAAATGGTGGGTACCGGCCGCCACCTCAGGGAACAGGTATAAAGGTTGGGAATATGAATATGAAACTATAGAAATCCAAATCCGCCGACTAGGGCATCATCGAAGCACGTTCCATCGTTGAGGGGTCGGTCGGGGAAAAGGGGCGTGGGTGGCGTAAGTAGAATTGGGCTGGAGCTTGTTGAGGTTCGAGTTGTCCGCGTCGTCGGAATCGCGGAGATTTGACGGTTGTTCGAACATCAATTAAGCTAGTCCAACCAAGAACAACACAATATCTCGGGATTCTGATAATTTTCCCAGTTTCCCGGTGGGATCTACCCATGCCTTGTCATTACACAAGAAATTCTCGGTCCGAGATAAAATAAGGAGGTGATGATATCCTGGAGCTCTTCCTGCAACGTCATATATGATATGTCGTTATCTACTTTCGACAAACGATCCAGAACAGAGAGACCGTTCTGAAAAATCATAAGAGTAATATTCTATTTAGAATGCATCGCTAGTATACAAATTGCCTTGGGTTTAATGTACATATTAATGTCGAATGGCCCTAGCCATTAGGAATCGCGAGATGCCTTATCTTTCTTGCCTTTGTTATACAATATCGTAGTGGCATCTATGATAGAGTCCGGACGCGTCGGGCGCAAACCCAACTCAGACATATGTCCCCAGATTCGCGCATGCCGCTTCTCCCATCGTTGGCGCCGAGTCTCCATCTCAGCTCCCGAGGGACGCCACTTGCTCTTTAGAATCCTCCGAATAGCTTCGGGGGATACCTTGAATTCAGCCGCAAGGACAGGGGTCGTGAACTTGTCAGGATCAATGTGATGCAAATGCCGTATCCCTTCCATGGCATCAGGGGAGAGTTTCTTGGCTGGTGCCCATCCATCTGGAAATTTTCTTTTCAAAGCTCCTTTCTGAATCTCCCATTCTTCAGCTTTCTTCTGGGGCTTGGGCCCGGCGTTTGTTGCGCCCTTCCGCGCGGTCTTCTTGGTATCGCGGTCGCCTGCTCGTTTTTTGTTGGATGCTTTTGACTCCGTCTTCGTTTCACGTGTACCAGGGGAGCTTGTGGAACTTGTAGTTTGGGCGGAGGCTTGGTCGTTTAAACTCTGGTTTGCGGAGTTCGAGCTGCCAATGGCGACTGATGGCTCATTTTGATTAGAATCTGGTACTTCAGGTTTCTGAGAGGATGTGATAGGAATAGAATCCAGAGAAACGGTGGTAATTGCCCGTCTGCTTCTGCGATCGTGGCGAGAAAGTCGGTTCAAAGGCTGGATTGATGGAGCGCGAAGCGGAAGAATGAATTCGGAATAAACGAGGGTTCTGAGGGCATTAGGAAGCGAAATACTTGCTGAGGTAGAGCAGAAAGACGACATAATGGCAAATTGCTACTTGTACTGAGACTGAAGCGGATGGAGTTATCGGACCTCAAATGGAAATTTTGGAGATAAGGATGCTAGCTGCCTCAGGCATTAATCATGTGATATCCTGCCCAATGAGCCAATCAGACAGCAAGTCCATTGGCCACCAACTGAGAATATCCTGGCATGGCCATGATTGTGACATTAAGCACCAATTTGCTCGCTCAATGGCTTGGTTTGAATGTTTGTCCTGGACGGTCGAGCTGGACGTACCACCGAGGACAGGGACGGCTGCATGAATTTAGCATTACCCTTGAACGGTTACGGAGCAAGCAATCATTGGAAGATTACTGGCTGGGCCAGATGCACTGGCCAGGCGAGGAAAACAGTCAGTGCACCGATATTGAGGCTACTGAATTGCTCGCTGCTAAGACATTTAAGGCGACTTTGTCCTGAATCGTAGTGGAGCCCACCCCGCAAAGACTTTGTCCCCGCAAGCACCGCAGACTTGGAAACTTCGGGCTGTGGAGCTGTGCTTATTATTCTACCACAGTCTTTGATTATTCCTGCAGCGAATGACCTACACACTGCTACTCTCCACCTAGGCCCTTCCTACCGGCGCTTATCATGGACTGGTGACGATTTAAGGTCAAAATCGATGAAAAACTACTTCTGCTAATGACAAGCGCTTTCTTTGTCCCGAGGAGCCCCAGAGGTCTGTATGGTTGATTATATCGTCTTAGATTACCCTGTCTACCCAATACGCCGGTGGCTGGCCGATTGTCTACGCAGAGTAATCTCCTGCCATGACACTATATCCTTATTTTCAAGATGGTGTCAAAAAACCGCCAAAAATCACAACGGACTGCGGATTATCGGCCATTCTATGTGGTGGTGGAGCTATCACCAGCAACAAGGCCGTAGGTATTATTTTGATTACTTACTTGGACGACCCGCATAACGAGTTGAGGTCTCACAGAATGATCGACACGTCTTTGCGCTCTCTATTAGATCTCCATGGTTTTGGGGAGAATTGCGCGAACTGAGTAAAATTGCACGGGCTGGGACCAGAGACGGCAAGCTATAGATAGCAGATGGCTATGGGAATGAGAGAAGATCGGGGCTCTCCATCCCTGAAGCAGAGCGGGCCGTGGCTGGTATGGGCGTCCCGGTCCCAAGAATCAGGGCCAATCGTCCACCAACTCCAACTCAAAGCCGAGAACTGCCAGGGGCACGATTGGACTTGTGCCTGAGGCAGGGCCAGAAAGTCGACGATTGGCGTCTCCACAGTCTACATTCTCCGTGAACCTCGAGCTCCCAAACATTCCGGGCCAGCCATGTATGGGCTCGGCTTTGTTGTTTTTTTGCCATTCAAAGAAACGCAGGTTGGATGTCGTCAGGCTACATAAGACTGCTGCCAGGATCCCGCAGCACCGGGAGCAGGCGACTTGTGGAGCTCTGATTGTCCCAGCCTCCTCATCTACTTCAGCCGCCAGGAGTTCGCTGCCGAGCGGTGGTGGTTCTTGAGAGTTTCCGTCCGTGCTTCAGCATCTCCGCCCACTAAATCTTAGCAGCTCGAAAAGCTCCCCCGATCTCTCACTCTCAGTCTCCGTGCTCGATCTCTGTCTTTGATTGTTTATTCGCTTCCGATTTCTTCACTCATTCAATTGCTCTCAGTCACTCCTTATTCGCGGTTCTATATTGACCGGCTGTTCTCTCCCAGTCTTTCTCGCTACTCCGAAACTCAGCTCTGTTTGCTCTCGAGCCCCTCCTTATCCAGATTCTACGATCCAACTTAATCGCCTGGCCAGCTCGAAAGCCCCCAATCTGCCTCGCAGGAGGTGACTCTGTTCATTACATCTTCCCTCTGCCGCATATTTCGTCGACTGCACCTTCCCTTCTGAGCTCGACATATAAGAGACGGAGCTTTGCTTAAACCAAAGTCTCACCTCTCACCTTAAACCGATTGCTCGCTCGTCTCAACAAATGCAACCGAAATTTATACAACTCTCTGGGGATAGTGCAGCTTCCTAATAGCCCTTGCCCCCGATTTGCTATGGCGTACAATACGTTAAGCGTGAAAAGCAAGCCCGCGGGCCCAGCCCAGTCGCTGCGAATTACCCCATCCAACTCACCTTCCATACGACCGCCAACCCGCTCCTCCAACAAACCATCTCTATATCAGTCAGCTTTATCCCTTCAGACAGTTATCGGCACCACGACAACTACCCCCAATGGGTTCTCTTATCATGATCAAAGCAAGTCGTTTGCATTCTGTGCTGGATCCGCCGGTGTCTTAGCAGAACTGGATGATGGCGATAATGTGAATCAACGCTTTTTCCGTGCTCGGCCAACAGCCAACAGCATAAATCCAATAACGTCATTCTACAATCAATCCACGCCCCCAACCACACCCGATAATAGGGCAAAGTCTCTGCCAGGTATAAAGGCGACACCGCATAACGGCAACTATAATGGTTCATCGTCAACTGAAATGGCGGAAGCACCTAGTCCCCGTTCGTGGTCATCTAGGGAAAGGGTGAAGGCCGTTACTAGTATCGCCATAAGTCCGAATGGAAGGTTCCTTGCTCTAGGAGAGGTAAGTACAAATTGGTTTTCTCTTACAACGATGAAAACTAACAGCCTCAGACGGGCTATAACCCCAGGGTCTTGATCTTTTCAACTGCAAAAGACGCACCTCCCGATATTCCGCTCTCCATTCTCACCGAACATACATTTGGCGTCCGTGCACTTGCTTGGAGCTCGAACTCACAATACTTGGCAACACTGGGGAACGTGAATGACGGGTTCCTCTTTGTATGGTCCATCGGGCTCAAGAATGGCTCAGCCAGGCTCCACTCGACGAACAAATGTACTACCGTTGTTCGTGACATGACTTGGCTAGGTCACGCTTTGATCACGTATGTCTTCTATTTATTTGCCTGACTTCTGGTTTGCTTCATGTACTAAATACTTTATAGTGTGGGTGTCCGGCATGTGAAGGTTTGGAGACTTCCCGATATCAGGCCTGCATCCCCAACCAAATCTCGTGCCAATACCGGCGATGGCCCCAGCAACACCGCGCCAAAGGCCCTTTCTGGAAGAAACTGCGTTTTAGGAGCCCTGGCCGACAATACCTTCACTAGCGTCGTCGGGATTACCGACTCCGAGGCTGTGGTTGGTACTGACTCTGGAGCACTCTGTATTGTTGACGACAGGGATGGCAATGCCAGACTTACTCTCATTCGGTACATGGAGTTCGGCATCACGTCACTAACATCTGACCCAGACCGGGCCTGTTTATGGGTAGGCGGTCGTGGTAGACGAATGCGAAGACTTGCCTTTGAATCCTTGCGAGCAGCATGCAGCCCATCGTCTCCACGCACGTCTAGTCGGTCATCAACGGAGCTAAAATCTAAAGAACCAGCCATCACTTGTATTGGTTCTCTTATGTCTCACGTGGTTACTGTTGATAGTACCAAGGCTATCCATATATATCCCGCCGAAGACTTAAACGATGAAGTTGACAGCTGTGACACGGGAACCACTATGCCTGCCCATAGAGATTCCGTTCTCGGTATAGAGCCACTGAGTACACCAAACTACCTGAGAGCAGATTTTTTTACTTGGTCTTGCAAGGGTGTCGTCAAATTTTGGAACACCCAGGGCGGGTGCTGCGACACGCGGACAATCCCTGTTGAGCCGCTCTTAGGCGGCGATGACGACAATCTTAATGAGCTCAAGATATTGCGTGCAAGCAAGGACATGAACTTGTTTGTCTCCGGGGACAAACTCGGTGTTTTACGGTATTTTCAATCACGCTAGTTTGTTAATAGGCTCCTCTTACTAATTCCTCCCTAGTATATTCCAGGGGCAACCGTGGAAATGTGTGAATGAAGTTAGAGCCCATGGAGGGGAGATCACAGATATCGCTTTATATGAGACTCCAGATTCCTGCATCGTTGCTAGCTCAGGGCGTGATCGGATGGTGCAGCTTTTCGAAAGGCGTGACGATAGCCTTCAGCTGCTTCAAACCATGGATGACCACGTCGGCTCTGTAGGCCAGCTTCTTTTTGTCAATGGAGGAGAACGGCTACTATCCTCTTCTGCGGATCGTACTGTTCTCATAAGAGAACGTGTCACCCGCGAAACCGACGGTGCAACAGCCATTGCCTACATGATATCGAAGGTGATTACCTTGAGATCATCCCCGGTATCTATGTCATTATCTCCGGATGACCCAGACAGCATAATTTTCTCAACTATTGATCGTTGCGTACAACAATATGAAATGAGCTCCGGTCGTCATGTTCACTCTTTCCGCGCAGCTGATTCCGAATCTAATGATACGGTGGTCATGGGCTCGTTAACGGTCACCTCTGCTATCTCCGGACAAAACCCTAAAATGCTCATCGGGGTCTCAGGAACTGATAAATCGATCCGTGTATATGATATGGAAAAAGGGGCACTTCTCACAGGCGAATTCGGCCACACTGAGGGCGTCAGTGACGTCCGACTTCTTGAAAAATATTCTCATCCATCAAGCGACTCACCGGAGCGAATATTGATCAGCTCAGGCATCGATGGGGTAGTCATGATTTGGAACATATCTGTGCAGTTACAACAACCTCAGGAATATACCCAACCTACACAGGCGATTCCTAACGACGAGGAGGAAATTGCTTCTAAGGATCCAACACTATCGAAACCCCCTCTGCGAAAAGTATTATCTCGCTCAGACCTTGCGGGATTTCAACGACCGGACGGCTTAGCGTTGACTCCTACCCCGGTGCGCGAAACTTCGGAGCAGTCTCCGCTTTTATTGCGCAGGCTATCTCGGGCATCTCTTGTTTCATCAATGAGGAACGGGAACGTAATGCCAGCAACACCTCCCTCTGCACCTACACGTCGCTCGCCTACCTCTTCCATTCGCCCCGAGAGAACGCGTAATTCTCCGTCGCCGCCGAGCCCAAAATCCACGGGTGGGAAAAAGGCCTTGGAGTCACGGAGTCACAACAATATTCGCTGTTCATCTCTGGATTTTCGGACACGGGCTCGAGCATCTGGTAAAAGCGAATTTGGAAGTTTGAACATGTCGACCGAACAGGTATGCCGTACACTGAAGGCATACAGAAAGAAGCTCAATGGGTCTACTGAGCATCTACATTCCCAAAAGGAGCTAGAGCGTGAACTTAGCCTCACTTTACGGGCTCTCAACTCTCGAGCAAAGAAATCTGAGACCGAGTCGGGCGAAACTGAGACCGATAGCAGCGGTAAAGAAAACGAGCGGATCCCTCGTCCTCCCATTCCAAACAGAACACCTCGCATACCTCGTCGAATTCCGTCAACCCCAAACCTAGGCCAAAAGAAGTCGCCAAAATATTCTCGCAGGCGTTCCCTTGACGCAGCTGGAGAAGGCTGATTCATTGACATATTTGTGTGATTTTCTGATTCTTCTCACCCTATTCCTTCTCTTTTTCATCTTCTTCCTTTAAATGGCGTTTCGTGGTGACATGGGACTTTATTCCGGAGTTATTATTGACAGATCTTTGCATCTTGCAGTCGCATGTTGTCTTTCATTCTTCTTTTTACCCGGATATTGGGTCTTGTTTAAGCATAGCAGGTGTTGGGTTGGTTTTTGGTCATTTGCGGGTTCAGCTGATGGCTCTAGTTTTGCCTTCTCTATTTCCACCATTATCCTACTGAACCTGAGGGTTGCGGTCACCAATCGTTTAATTTCGTCATTTTTTGTTAGAACCGGCGAGACTGACAATGGCCTGTTTCTGAGGCCATAGTTCAATCTTCCCCCCTGGTCCTTGATTCATTTGCGCAGCCATCTCTAGGCAATTTCCACAATGATACCCATGTTATTGAAATTTGCGACGTCTCTCTGGGCGCAGATTCAAGACTTTATTGCAACTCACTGCGATACTGTATTATTAATGTCCAGGTACCTTGCCTAGGAACGGATTACAACGTAAAATGGGAAAGAGCACACCTCTAGTTAACCGTGCATCGCACTTTGCGTAGGTATTCTGTGGGATATATATTGCAACCTGGAGAAGGAGTAACCCCTGACTTCTCAACTTTAATTTGTTGTTCCTTCCGTATAAGCAACATATATTGACACCTAAGGTGTAAGGATTGGCCGCGATCTACCCTGCCTTTACCCTTTGGTTGTGAATAGTAGTATTAATTAGTACCCTTTAAACGTTTCTAGTTAACTACAGGAAACAATGTTCGTTGGCTTTCTCTGTTTTGAGTTCCTTGGTAATAGGTGACCCATTCCAGGCTCCGTGGAGTGTGTAGGTGTAGTTATATATTATGCTGGGTCTTAGTAGGAGCAAATCTACTCTCTCAAACAGGCCTTAGCTTCGCAAGATTCCGTCTAAGAAGCCTCCCTAACTCACTACCGTCGTCGCCTGATATTGAATCAGCCAGCGCAATAGCTTTCCCGGCCCACCGACGACACTCCCCATCCGCAGAAACAAGAAAGAACTCTACCGCCCGATTGAACGCGGTAGTTGCCAGCCACTGGAGTTCGTCTTTTGGGTATGGAGCCCTTGTATTGCGAATAGAATTGGGACCATCGCGGGCCAGAATGAGGGCTTGGTCGAGGACGGACTCGGCGAGGATGTATTCTTCGGCTTGGATGGAAAGAGAGAATAGGCAGCGGAGGTGGCGAGGGAGGTAGGAGTTGAGACCACCGGTTGATTCAGTGGTTATAGATTGAGACGGAGAGCTGTGGAATGTGCGGATCATTTGCTGTTGTTCCAAGATTCGGTGGGTAATATGTTAGCAATCTAATTTGTATACTAGTTTGGTTTGGATGGTGCTATTCGGCCGTCATCGGACATACCTTGACAAATTGTGATAGGTATGATGAAGGGGCTCCAGACCGGAGGAGACAGTCGAGGAAGACGGAGCTGAGTTTTGCACTTATGACGGGCTTTGATGCTTCGATTATCTTTGCGAGATCTTCCCACTGGCGGAGGAAGACGGTGGCTTCGAAGTCCAAGGAGAGTATGATGCGGTACTTGTCTATCCACGGGTATGGCGGGTTTGTGATGGATATCGAGCGAATACCTAGAGATTGGATGTGGGTTTTAAATTGTTTTATAGCTTCACTTGTTTCTCTATAATAGTTTCCCTATATGGTGTTAATATTTGAGGGCGGGAAAGTAGAGGAGCATTATACATATATATATACCTTTTTGGCGGAACCTTTTTCTCTTCGAGCTTCATTAGCTATAATTATAGATTGCAGGAAAGTGCACTTCAGATAATGCTGTAAGGTATCGGTATTCGACTCTGATTCTGTTTTCTTCTGCTCGAGCTCCATGAACTGTGCAAGGGCATTAGTATAGAGCCCACGAGGCAGAGACCGGGTAACATAATAGTAATATTAATAACTACCTTGGTGGAAATATCTAACAGTTTGACAGCAGCTTGTATAGAAGACTGTTTGTATAGCTCAAGAGCAATATTGTAGCTTTTGCAAGCAAACCATCGTATCTCATCAGAAAAGAATGCCCTTCCCTGCGCAGCAGCAGCAGTGGCCAATGCTGCGCACTTATTAGCGCACGGCTTAATACAGATTTGAGCTCGACTTACCAGACCCTAGTAAAGAAGTTACATGCCCCAGAAAGTCTTCGCAGTTGGCTGTGCTCATCTCGTGAGCTGTACATATCACGCACTGTAGAAGTTGAGGAATATGCAGTCTCTCGAGGTCACCGTCATTTGAGGTGACCATGACATCCTGAAGTGATTGGATCGCTATATCCATCTTGCCTAGCTGTAGTGCATCTTCTACACATGACCAGACATATGTGGAATCTGCCCCGCTTTTGCAGAGTGATTTAATGTATATAGTGCCTTGGCTTTTGGTTAAATCCTATGATATAGATAGAAGTGAAATATGTCTTACATAGTGATGCGTCCCCAGCGAGCAGGGCCAACCTGTACACCAGATACAGGATGAGTGGACAACTCCTGCAGACTTCTGGTATTTCGTCGAATATTTTCCGTGCTGTAGAAGGGCTATAGTTCTCCAAGGCGCAGATGGCCAGTTTTCTACTTTCGGGATTAGCCATGCCAGTGCAAGTGTTATTCAAGCGTACCGAAAATACTTGGCTTCTGCATCTGGGGTATTTTGAAATATTGAATGCTTCAGAATAAATTGACACCATTTTTCGGCAAGGAAGGTAGATCCTTTTGACAACATTGTGTCGATATACTTCCAGATGAGCTGCTCTTTGTCAATACCTTGAGCGTATACCATGGGCCATAACATACAATCAGGGAAGCTTGGGTAACGTTTCCACTTGGCTTGTCTAAGCCGCACTCTGCCAATATTTGTGCTGCTGTTTCAGCACGATCAGGGGGATGGTCCTCGTTGGAGGTGGTGTTTGTCAGAACCCATATGACGGAGACGAAAATCTTCTCCATCCATTGATCTTTTGAATCGATACCAAGAGTGGCTAGTTTATTCAGAAGCTGCTCAGAGGCTTCGAAAAAGTGCTCTAGACTGGATGATGATGATGTTATTTAAGAGAAAGAGCCAACCAGAACCTGCAAAATTTACCTCGAGCTTCCGATTTTCGTGATGTAGTGGTAGACTCTACACTACTGTTTAGATAAGGGTGAATATTGTGGAATACCACTCACATTTTCACGCTTGTATCACAACTATTCATTTCCTTAATGGAAGCTTTGAGCGCTAACATTGGATGAGTGCTCTGTTATTTTAATATCGTGCGAGGTTCCGACTTACTTTCAAAGTACTCCTCATTGAACTCGCCCTTCTTGTTCAGGACTTCGAGGGAGAAGATTAAAACAGGGAAGGAATTTCCGTGCTCCTAGACTGTGATTAGAGTCTTATGGTACTCGGATACTGGAACCTACGGTTCTCAGAAAGCTTAGAGCCTTTCGAAGCTGACTCTCAGAGGATGCCGTAGTAGCGTAAAGATTAGAACGTGCTGCTACAATTAGACATCAAAAGAAATTTAAAAGTAGGCACCCTCACCGTAAGCATGAAAAACCAACAGCTTCTTATCATTCAGTCCTTGCCCACCCCCGGGCCATAGCTCACACACTGCCAACGCTCTACTCAGCCATGTTGTCGCTGTGTTATACTCGCATTTTAGCAGTGCTGCTTCTCCAATACGGTAGCATGTGTCAACAAGCACTCTTTCTTGCTCTGTGGTCTTCGCTTCTGGAGCCTTCGAGAATAGATGGTCTGCGATGTCTGGCCGTCCCTGTGACCAGGCCTATTATATGCTTGTTAAATATATTCAGTCTCCGTAGGTGAAGCTGCTTACCAGATATATCCGTAGCATATAGTATTCAGTGCTAAAAAATTCAAGCTTGACTATGTCAGTCTCAACTTCAGGTGCCTTCATCAGGTCCAATCGCGCAGCAGCTGATTCCATGATATTTTGACTAAGGTCGGTAAGGCCATACTCTAAGTGTCTTTTCATCAGTAAATTGTCCCACAAGGCCAACCCACGACAGCATACCAATGCAGGTCTTGGCTGCTTTGAATGCAAGTTCAAGACATCGGTAGTTTCCTGGGTCACGCATGATAAGAAGTTATGTCCGTCTTACGAGCACAAATCTCGCATATGTAATGGCATATTCTTACCAGGGCCTGTTTTAGGTGCTGCTGCCTCTAGCATCGCATAGGCTAGAGCTTTCACTGGACAAGGTTTAGCACATATAATTGCCTGAAACACAGTTATCCACGATAATACCTTTACAAAGTAACACTTTTTCATTATTATTCTTCTTCTTCGTATCCCTCATCCGCAGTGCGTGTATGTTCCAAAGCTTTGCCCCTTCGTTATCTAGCTGCTGGCGGGTCGACTTCGAAGCAGCCTCTGCCAGAAGTGGAAGGCGAGGCAAGGTTCTCTCGAGCAGTTTTTGGGTTTCTCTGCTCAAAGTTGGCTTATCCGAAGCGTCATGTTGCGTGAGTTGATCCTGGAGGTCTATGGCTAGAGCTAGAGTGTGAGTTGGATGGCATTAGTATGAGGCATTCAACGGACACTGCGTATGCTCGTCTACCTAGTACAGCTTGTGCTTGGTCTTTGGACTTGGCAGAATCATTCACTGCCATGGTGGCCAAGCGGCTTTGATGGAATGAAGGTTTGAGGATGAAATCAATTGATTTTGAGTACTCGAAGAAGTTCAAAGGGTGGGCACATGATCACCCCTCCAGATGTAAATACATAGCACATAGTAAATGGAGCATGAAAAGCAGGCCTCAACCGAAACTCATCAGTATTCCTGAGGCAAAACATGTTGAAAACAAACAATCCTCTTGATAAAAATATGATACAACGGTTCGTGGTTGTAATGGTATATACGAAATTCCACATGTAGGGTCGAAGGTAGACGTAACCCTTGAGAAATAAAGACAAGCAACCCAATATCCGATGAAAGTACCTAAGGGGTCCCGTAAAACGCCGATTAGAATTTGACAATAGCCCGAATCATTTTTTTCGTTGCGAAGGTAGGAAGTTTCCGACAATGAGAGACGGACTAGAATCGGGTTAGTATAGCACACCGCACTCGCCCGTTCCGCATCGCTTACATGTTATGGTTATCTCTCCGGATAGTGAATGAGAAACAACAAGGTATTCCTTCGTTAGGGGAGGAAGCATTTGGGTTCTTCAAGGTACAGCTCGTGAGCATCGCCTTCTGGGTGTTGTCGAAAGCAATGGCGCCAAATTTCTCCCAGTAGCTCACAAGTTGATCTTCCACTATGATCTCATGGATTGCTAGTTTACCCTGTAATAAGCGGTTAATATCATCTCTGAAAGATACCCGGTTGAATTCCGAATGACGTACGTCTCTGAGAACCTCGATAGGGACGCCGATAAGCTCAGCCATTTCTTTATTACCTCGGAATATTTCACCCGTTCGTCTCCAGCAGCAGGCCGGTATCGCCATACTCGCAAAAACGCGGTCATATTCCATCAAGCTGCGCTCGAACCACATCTCCACCAGGATGAGTTCAATATCCGTCAGGCTCTGCATCCTCTCACGAAACTTGGGGCGGAATTTGTCCAGTTGCCGGAGGATCTTTTGCCGCGAGGCTGGCTGTAGGTGTTTCTCCATATATGAGTTGAGTCTTGCATAACCTTTGACGTAGTTGAATGGTCGCAGAAGACCTGCGTCGTATTTCGCTTTGAGAAGCTTGTTCATTCGCTCTTCTGGAGGATCAGACCCTGAAGGGTCCGCTGCTGTCATATAGTACGTTTCCCTCGCTTTATCGTTCCCAATGATGACTGGCCCTGAGCTGTCACCCTGGTTCGCTGTGTTTTGCGGCGGACCCAGAGGCTGAGATTGTTGAAGCAGCGACGTATTTGGGCCCCCGAGCACAGACATGGAGTTGATCAACGTTGGGTCCGAATACATTCTCTGCATATCGTCGTTCTGGAAGATGCTTCCATCGTCAAGTAAACTGTTGCTGAGAAAGTCACCTAAAAGGTTATATTCGTTCGTAACTTCGGGCGCATTGAACATATAGGAAGGGTGAAATGTATGCATGTCTTGAAATTGGCTTTGGCCGCCCACCCAGTCATTGTATCCAAGAACTGCGAACTTATTAGCAAGATAACGAAGTGAACGAGATGCGAAAATGGATAAAACGCTTACGCTGTTGCTGAGGCGTGACACCCAGGTTTTGGCCTGTAGAGGAGGACATGGGTCCAGGTTGCACCGCATTCATAGGGGACGACGTAAGGCCCAAGTTTCCATCGGCCAGGATCTGCTGACCTGCAGCATCTTGGATATCGACCTTCCTAGGCATGGCGTGAACATTCGGGTATTCGTTATTTGAAGAACCCTCCTCGTCTGCAGCAGACTGTTCGTGTTCGCTGCGCGCTCGTTTCGATGGCTCTCTCGGTTCGTCATGACACAGGTGCCCGATATTGCGTTTTATACATCGAGTGCACGGTCGCTCCTTCATTCGTGGAAAGATAAAAGTCAGCAACGATTTGTCCTCTCCCAGCTGCCATCCTGCAATACGTTTCACAACGACTCGTGCGGATATAATTCAGGGTAGGTCTTACCGAATCGCAGGTCATATGCTGTAACATGTGAGCAAGTAGCCTGCCGTCAGCAAATGAATTCCAATGATGATCTGGGTCGGAGGAAAACTTGAGACACCCAAGCCTGTATTTCTTTTCCTTGTCCCAATAATAGGGGGCGTAGAGGGTTGTAAAAAATGAAGGGAATGGTGAGGAAGGTAGACGCCATCCCCCCACGGGGCAATGAGCTTACCGATCGCCTACAGTAGACGCATGCTGCAAGCGTGGTTCCCTGATTAGCAACGTGGTCTGGAAGCCATAGCAGAAAGAGGCAGACGTAGGGAACCGCTGCTGTGACCCTGCTGGGACGTGAATTCTTACCATGATTGACCTTGCGCCGTTTCTTCGGGCTGGCACGAGCCCCCGCAGCAGCACCTTCGGGTTTCGAGGCAGGCGACGTTTGCGCGTTATCTTTGGTGTTTGAGTCGGCTTTGCCGACTGTGCTTCCATCTACCATCTTGCTAGGGGTCGTATTCTCGGCCGTTCCATTGGAGGTATTCTGATCTGGGGCTGGACCCGTTTGCGCAGTAGTTTTCTCCGTCATTGATTGCGAGGCGCAAAGCTGTTGCGCAGAGACCGGCTCGCTGCTGTCGCGGGCGTTGATCGGTCGGAACACAAAAGGCGAAAGTGAAATGGGCACTTGCAGGCACCGACGTGGGTTGAGCGAAGAAGGACACGAGCAACCATCGGTTCAGCTGCACTAACGAGCGCGAAGCTGGAGATACATGCGACCACACTTTTTCCCCGCTGATGGGGCGGGACTTAAAACGTGTGGCAGTACCAAGTAGTAGTGACTCAGGCAGTGACTTGGGACTAGGTTGGAGGCAAGGGCTCGGCAGCCAAGTTCAAGTCCCGGTCTTCTCCGCATTGGGAGTGCCGCCCTCTTAACCTATCGGGCCAGCAGACGGTGCCTCGGAAAGCTCTCCGATTCCTTACTGCTATTGCTCATGTGCAGCCAGATACCTCGGTTTACAATTATCTATATATCAGACATCAGAGTCTAAGCCCATACTTGTATTTCTCTAGTATACGTCACAGCATGTTGGAAGTGGTTTCTTCAAATGTTCTACCCTCCAGCACGGCCCGGGAGTACAGGACGAGATCCGCTGGGCCGCCCTAGCCCAAAGCTAAAGCTACCCAATACAATAACGCTTACTCAACCAGAATCTCGACGCTGTCGGCGTACTCCAATCAGCGCAATGATCCCGCATGGCTCGTGCCCATTTCCATTGGCAGCCTGGATCATTGGTGGGGTTTCATATCGCTGCATGTTTGCGACGCGGTGTACCCGACTGTATCAGGTACCCAGGGCACCGTGCAAGCCCACGGAATATGGTTCCTGTGCGCGTACCCTGCTGTTGCCCATCGTGGTCTCCAGCAAATGATGCCTTTGCTGCCCCAGCCGTTAACGCTCGAGCGTATGCATAACGAGCGGTGTCGACTAAACTATCCCGAAATTGAACCATCGCGACAATCCTCTTATAATGTGTCTGAACAATAGGGCCTGTTTTATCCAGTCAATATTACTGGGTGTTGAATGAAGACGCTATCCGTCGCCAAATTCAGTCATCGGGCATATCTGTTAGGCTCAGCGCAGTCTGAGACCGTGTAATAGCATCTTTCAGTCCAACGAGAGGAACGGTATTGCTCTGCATTGACTTCAGGTGGTTGTTCAATTGCTTGAGTATACCGGACACCTCGGGGTCGGCTTCGAGCTAGATGTGGAGGATGAGTCAGTCAAGCGCGCATAATCAAAAGGTTAAGTCCTTACCTCACTGAATCCCAACTGCGAATTCTTCGGGTTGGTAAGAGTAAACTCGGAGGGGCCCCCGGTTTGTTTACCGGGGCCGTCCTCGACCTGTCGTAGGACAGGGTGTTCCTATCATTGATAAGCCGTGGTCCTAGTATTTTCCGCCGCAGTAAACAACATACATTCTTCATCTGCCTCTTTCGTTCAGTCTCCGCGCGCTTTGCGTTTTTCTCCATTTCCTGCAGCTGCTTTGTTTCCTTTGCAAGAAGCGCCTCCTCCTTTGCAATCTCGTTATCCAGCAGATCGATGCTATCGTTAATTGTCGAGAGAGAAGTCTCGAGCGCGCTCTAATCAGGATAGTCAGTATTCCTGCACTCTAGAACTAAGTAAAACGAGGACATACGTGTTCCTTAAGAGCCGCTTCGTACTCGAAAACAGAGTCTTTCGTCAACGGGGGGAAAGGCATTCGAGGTAATCGCTTTCCAAGACTATAGCAGCCACATAGCAATTAGAGACATATCCACATTATCGTGCGCGTGGGTACGTACTTCTTTACCACAGCTTGAACAGCTGCCTGGGCTTCGTAGCGTTTTCGGTCATTCTGTTGCCGAACGATAACAGGACGCTCCAAGGCGCGGAACATATCACGGATCTTGTCCTGCGTCGGCTCTGGAAGGGTTGACCATTTTGACTTGATTGTTCTTTCCGATATGTGTCGCACCTGAGGCTTCAAGTGGGCGTATTGCTTCTTGCGTTTGGTGGTCTGGCCCCGGTCGGGCGCATCATTAGAATGCTTTCGTTTGGGGGGCATCGCGAAAAAGTTTAAGGTAGCAGAAAGAATCAAAGGTACGCCTATTCGAAAGAAAATTCGTAGCCGACAATAAATACCACAGGTGCCTGAACTTGTCACAGGTTGTTGGAGGCTGTTGATTGTTGCTCTCACAGACGCGCCAAGCATCAATGGCCTTAAGTCACATGCATATTCAATATCGCTTCCACTAAACTGCTTTGGAATCCAGAGCCAGCTCAAACCAACACCATGACCAGTTCTGCTTAGTCTCATCGTTATCAGCGATTTTCACATGTCCATCTCCAAGCTGAAGAATGAGGGGCGATCAAGCTCTAATAGATGATGTCATGGTATTCTTTTCTATGCATCAAAATATTATTATTTAGTCCACGTTTAGCGTGGAGCCTGCGAAATGCCACAAGTAGTAGCTTATATATCAATACAAGGAAGATTGAATTTGAACAAAAAACATAGGTATCATATCCCAGGTCATAATTGCGACAATGCAAACGCCTATAATCCCCAAGTGCAACCCGCGTCAAACCAGACCGCTAAACCGCTTCCATTAAGCCGAACAAGATCGTGTTGTCAAAAGGACAGTAATGAGAAGATCTTTCATCGCGGCATCACTAGGCCGTTCATAGTCTTCAGTTCTGCGAGCTGTGTCTTCAATGTGTTGTTACCGCGTATAACGTCCTCCAACCAGTCGGCGGCCTGAGTGAGCATCGCACTTTTACTGAAGCCACCACCTCGTAACCCGGGAACAAGTATGCATAGGTCCTCGAACCCCTGTCTGATAAGATTCCGCCGTTTTTGTTCTGAAAGAATATGATTGCTTCGTTTCTGTTCTTCCGTCAAGTTTTCTCGCGGAGTTTTCGAACTTTGCGAGCCTCTCGACTTTCGGATCATATCGGTAGATAGTCGTCTACCAGCACCCTTTGTGCGTTTTGACCGGTGACGGAGAGAATCCTCATCAGAAACATCATCGTCCTCTTCTTTAATTGATAATCTCTGTTTTTTCTTCGGGTGTGACGAATCTTCTATAGTTTCGCCGTAGTCTTTTCTTAGTCCATTGATATGATTGACTGCTGGTGTATCTGCCCACGGGACGGCGTGATGGTTCAAGGTCCGATCTGGTGTGGGCGCCCGCGTATTGGCAGCGCTGCTTTGAGGCTCGAGACATTCCAAATTTTGGATTAATTCCTTTGTCCGTTGTTCTTCGCTAGGGTGCTCGGGAGGGGCCACATATCCTTGGTCCATGAAACTAGAGTCAGATCCCCAGTGAAGTGGCCGGGCTTTGGTAGATAATTGTTGTTCGGGTGATATGGGCTGATGTACATCAAAGAACATCTGTGGCGTATGGAACCCGACAGGCAAATGTGTTCGAGGAGTTGTGCTGGGCCGCCTAGCCGGCTGATGACCGTTTTGCTGCCGTTGCTTTCCATTTCCTTTTAGTTGTTGGTAATTGACATTGGAGAAAGCAAACGGCTGGCTCCCAAAGTTGGTGCTAATCTCGGGGCCATTCGCTCCGTTGGGGTATATCATAGAAGCTGCAGCCATGATGTCTGGGTTTGAATGCTCGGGGATAATTCCAAGGGATTTTTCGACACTTTGATGAGGAAACGGTGGTTGGGGTAGAGATGTTGTAGAGCCCTCAAACGTTGGCGGCAGCTCATTCGACCAGTCAAAGCCTGACAAGCCATGAGACTTGTTCGCGTCATCTTGGGGCCCCGTAAGCCAGAAGTCGTTTGCGAAAGGATTGGCGTCTAGTGTTGTGAGGAAGTTATCAAGCATATTCGTTTCGTTAACATCAAGAAGCGCTGGCCCAAGGGGTGAGGAAGGAGCGGGTTCGCAAGGCGTATCTTCAGGGAAAGCATCTGCCAATCGGTTAACTGGGTTAGAACTGGTATGTCTCAATCTTGAAATGGAGGACTCACAGCCAAACGGAAGTCCTGAATTATTGCGTCCATCCCGACCCTGAGTGCCGTTTGGGGTATTGATGCTCATCATTGTGGTTTTGAGTATCGGGGAGGATAGTGAGATATGTTTGGTAGGTAGTATCTCAATTATGGTTCACCGGCATCGAGTTGTGCAGGTCGCGAGTGGTATAGACGAGGCCGATCTCAGCACAACTTTACCCGCAAGATATCACAGACGCTGCAGCTACTTCCTTATGCGCTGTGAGAAATACCTTCGAGAAGTTGAGATGACTCGAAACTCAAGGTCGACGTCGACCGATGGACAGTGCGCTGCGCAAGTAGTTGTTTTCCGTGTATCCCCAGAAAAATAGAGTGGTAGTTCCTCCTGCGGGAGTTGAGTATGGAAATGTAGAAAAAGTGAGGAAAGTGGCAATCGAGGGTCGCTGGGGAAGTTCAAGACAAGGAAATTATAACACGGGGCCAGATCCACCGCAACAAGCGCATATCCCCCGCATTCAATCTAGGTGCACCAAAAAGATGACGACGAAAGCTGAAGATACAGGCGTTGATAGCGGAGCGGGCATGGCCCGTCGGCTCGTGGTTGCTAGAAGGATCACATGCAAAAACTCGCAAAGTCAGGTCGCGTGGGTACCGGGAATACCGAAATTACGAGATTTCCCCACCAGATCTGGCTGTCACAACGTACCAGCCCGTTCTGGGTGCGCTCGGACGAACTTCCAACGTTGGAAGCCGTTAAGCCCAAAAGGAGAATCCCTTGCGAGCTTCCAGGTTCCTTCCAGGCTCTTCACTCTCCCCGTCCAATTGACGCCTCTGTGGCTCGACCATCGTTCTTAATTCTCCTCAGGGCGCCGCTTCACTGGTTTTTGCTTTTTTGCTGCTATTCATCGCGTCTGAGTCGCCTCAGAAAGGGTCTTTCCGTGGCACGACGGTCCGCCGCCGAATTGGACTTGTCCCGTTCTATCCAAGACTCCGGAGGACGACGCCTGTCCCTGCCCCACTACATCGTTCGTAAGGGACTTGACTGGGTGTACCTGACATTCTGCAGCTCCAGATCTTTGGCGAGACCTGTGGACTGCGAGGGCTATCGCGGAGAACTACCCCTGAACCAATAACCTATTCTTGAAAATTGGCCATAACGCCAGGTTTTTCTTGTCCAGGACCGAGGCGACGTCGGCTTGCGTCGCACGGCAGCACGGCAGATCATACCGAAGGATCCCCCCAAATTGGCGACGTCCTAGTGCCAACTCCAGTTAATTACCTGGTTCTGTAAACGTATGGAGTAAATCCCTCGGACATTGAGCTGTTTTACTTTTCCCCAGGAACTTTGTGCTCGCAGCCAATAGTTGTCTTGGAACCGCCCGGTTGCCGACGTCGTTCCAGAGAGCTGCACGGATCTACTCAGCTGTACGACTCGGTCTTGTATGATGATTGGGTTTTGAAAGTTTTCGTGGATCGTTCTAATCTCAAGGTCATAGGCTGATATATTGCGACTGTATTCAATTTCGGCTGCTTCTGTCATGAACTGAGCATTCGAACCACGATGGATTTTGCTGCGCTCACTCGCAGGCGCCATCGAACTTCGCAGCTACTCCAGCCGTAAGTACTACCTTTCATGGCAGCTGTGTAACTTCTATGCAACTTGAAATGCACACAGCCATACCACTGGCTCGTGAATGTTATTGATTGGTATTGGCAATCTTATTTAGAATTTTACGAGCTTATGCCCTGGGATATTTGTCTTCGACAACACCAAAGGTTATATCTTGCCTACGTCGACTCTGGGGTGACAATGGCTTGAGCCACCAGCAAAAACTAGCGGAAGTATGTACCCCTTCACGCTCCCTTCAGCTTGGCTTTTATGCAGCAACGGAAGAATGGCCATCATTGTAGGCCTACTACATCTTGGCCAGCGCTACCTTCACTTTTTTGGGTATGGTGTGGGAATTAAATATTAATGTATTCGCATATACAGTTACTCCGGACGTTAACTTGTACATTTCGGCCGGAAAGCTTTCCGACCTTTTGTGCCGCACTTGTTGGGGGCTCGACTTTACTTCCACTACTGGTTTTGAGAGCCCTACAGGTTGCATGCCGTAGACTTGGCTCGGATTCCAAAAGTCTAAGTTCTCGGGGTGTCTCTCGGTTAATCCAATTGGCCGCGTCATTCATATCTGCATGGTTCAGTTTCCAGCTTCTGAATCGTAAGCCGGTCAGTTTGCAAAAGGTGTACAGAGAGGCCCAGGATGAGAGGGTCCACGAAACAATTGTTAACCAGCCGAGACCTCAATTCGCTGGAAGAACCATGGACCTCACACTTTTTACTCTTGTACGGGCCCTTGATTCGTTAACTTGCATTTCTTGGGGCTGGGGCCAACGGAAGTGGAAAGGCAGCCCTCGTTGGAATTTGGCGCGTTCAATCATTCCTGGGCTTGCAGACTCCGCCATCTTTGCTGTTAGTGCGGCAGTTGTGATGTGGGCTTGGTTTTATTCTCCAGAAAGGCTGCCAAGGTCATATGAGAAGTGGATTGGAGAAGTGGCCAAGGTGGATGAACGCCTAATTGAGGCCCTCCGCCGTGCAAGGAGAAATATCTTTGTTTACGGTAAAGATACTGGACAGGCGCCTTTACTGGAATCTATGTGCAAAGACTTTGACTGGCCTATTGAATGGGGTGACCCCTCGAAGACCGTCCCAATCCCCTGTGAAATGGTACATATGGGATGTGGTCCTAATTGTGAAAAGCATGCCGTCTCTCGGTTCATGAGAACGTTCAAGTTCGCGTGCGCTACCTATATTCCCCTGCAAGTTGCTTTTCGGTTTCGGTCAATGAAGTCTATGGCGTCCTTCCAACGGGCTATATCCGATGCTTTGAGGTCTTCGTCGTTCCTTGCCGCGTTCGTCACCCTATTCTACTATTCAGTCTGCCTCTCCCGAACGAGGTTGGGGCCTAGGCTATTTGATGGGAAAACGGTAACACCGCAGATGTGGGATTCTGGACTCTGTGTCGGTGCTGGATGTGCGATGTGTGGGTGGAGTATACTCGTCGAACACGCAAAGAAGCGGCAGGAGATTGCATTGTTTGTGGCACCCAGGGCCACCGCCACTGTGCTCCCCAGGTTTTATGAACAGAAGGTATGATTGATTCTCCCGGTGAACCCATTTTCTTTGCCTGATTCGGGATGGTTCCACGACTTGAAATGGGTCATTGCGTGTCCAACACGGCCTTTTACTGCAACGTGCTTCAGTTCGAGGGTCCAACTCCTAACTAATTGGAATTTTGTTTAGTATCAATACCGGGAGCGTGCCACGTTTGCTATAAGTGCGGCTATCCTTTTCACTTGTTTCAGAGAATGTCCCGACACGGTCCGAGGGGTTTTTGGCAGGGTTGGAAGAAGTATTCTGAATTGATCTGGTTCAGACGGTTGTATTATTATACATTTGCGGGTTCTGATGTTGGCCGGCCAACACATGCCCGGCTGAATCGACTTAATATATATGTAACAGTATGATACATTAATAAAATCCAGCCAGATTTCATAGCACACTTCTAATGAGAAGACTACGGTGTAGAGGTGAAAGAATCGAGACCTGCGTGGAGTAAATAAAGATGGCGGCTGTTATCGATAAGGGACAAGTCACGTGTTATTAAATCCCTTGTCTGCGGCGTGCGTTGCGTTGATCTTGCGATGCTTCCTCCTCCGCTGATACCCGCACGCAATTCGAAGACAGTCATGTTTTCTCGTCTGACGCCTTCATGGGGTCGGTTCTTATCCTCCGGGACTGCAGCTCCGCGGTCTGCATTTATGCCGACTAGGAGCGTGGAAGCAGGCCGGAGGTATTTCACCCGCAATTCGTGTTTGAATCAATCGTCATCGGCGGCACCATTCAATACGCCCCAGTCGCAAAAGCGTAATGCGTCCACAATGTGCGTTCATGCCGGTCTCTTAGGAATATATCCTAATATGCAGCAGGTATTACACAATCAGTTTAATCCTCGGTACAGTTTCCCTCGCATACGGCTCCGTTCCGCTATATAAGATGGTTCGTCGTCCCATACCAATCGCTCCCCGCGACCTCTGAACCCCCGCGCACGGTACAAATACTGAAATTAATCCCTGCAGATATGCCAACAAACCGGCTGGAATGGACAGCCCGTTCTTACGCACCGTGCAGGTGACGGCGACACATCATCCCGCGTCACGCCAGTGACTGACTCTCGTCGGCTGCGGATTACATTCAATGGTTCGGTATCAGATGTACTACCTTGGAAATTCACACCGCAGCAGCGCGAAGTCCGAGTTCTTCCCGGGGAGACAGCGCTTGCATTTTACACGGCCACGAATAAGGGACCGACGGACATTATTGGGGTTGCAACATATAGTGTTACGCCGGGCCAAGTTGCGCCTTACTTCAGCAAGATCCAGTGCTTTTGTTTCGAGGAGCAGAAACTGAATGCTGGGGAATCGGTCGATATGCCGGTGTTCTTCTTCATTGATCCCGACTTCGTAACGGATCCGGCAATGAAGGGGATTGATACGATTACGCTCTCCTACACATTTTTCAGTACGTTCTTTCGCAGATTTCATAGTATTAGGAGCTGCTGACGCATAAAACAGAAGCGCGATATGATGACAATGGTGTGCTCAAGGCCATTCCGGGAAGTTAATAAGCTTCGGGAAACCATAACCTGACGAACTGGTTACATTTGGTTTCTCTGCGGCCGTCACGCAGCCGCCTCTGAGGCTGAAGTACAACCGGCAATGGTATGTCTAATTGACCGAGCATACAGCACCTGTATTCATCTCGATACCCTCGACAACATCGACAACCTCGAAGAATAACCTACCTCCCTCCTCCAAAGCAAGTATATGAATGTACCATAGCAAGCAGGATTGGCGTTTTTGAAATTTGTATTATAGCATACATATGTATATACTACAACAGTTGATTTACATTGTCTCTCAGACGTTGTAGATCGATCATGCCTAAATTAGCACTAACTAGAAGATATATATCAGATTGGAACCCCCCACTACCGCCCAAATATCTGGATAAAATATATAACACCAGATATAGAATAAGCCTTTATTTTAATAGCATGATACCCAAGTGCCGTCTTAATTGCCTATGTAGATTATTCCAAATACTTACTGTAGTAATTCGTCCACTCACTACAATTGCCAGTCAACCCAGTCAACCCAGCAACCGCCAGAACCCAAACATTCTTATCGATAAGCCACCAAAAACCAACAACCTCCACCCTACCTTACCTTAACCAACCCACCAAATCGCTCTCATCCGGGAGAGAAAATCAATATAAAAAACGGATAATATATATAATGACACAACCTAAAGCAAGCGGCTCAAGGCACTTAACATTCGACCCCTGGAACTCCGCCTCAACAGGCCACCAACGCGGCGAATCAAACCCAGGCACAGCATGGCAGCGCACCCGGGAAGCAAAACTCGCCCAGCAGCTGCGCACGGGAGACTGCACAATAAACCCATTCGCGTATGGCGATGCGCAAGAGAAGGTCTATGAGAAGGGCGAGTGGGAGTGGGATTGGGGTGGTGATGCCAAAGGTGGAAGAGGTGGTCCTGGTGGTGGGAGGAGTATGCCTTCTAGAAGAGCCGGGGCTGGGCCGGATTCGAAGCAGAGGGATATCAGGAGTATGATGAAGGTAAGGAAGGCCGGGGGTGGGGGTAGTGATTCCTTGGGCAAGGCTGTGAAGGACAAGAGTGCGGGATCATCTTTACCAGCTTCGACTCAGGTTCCTGGGCCAGTGCACACGCCAACACCAACATCAACACCGAAACCAAATCTACTGGAAGAGTCTGAAGATAGACTAGAGCAAACGCCCGGCGCAGTCGGTGGGAACGACGGTGCCGCCTCAGTCAACCACAAATCAATACCCGAACAACCACCAACAAAGCCCAGCAATGGCACCGGTATCGAATCAACCATGTTCCGTGGAACAACAATCTACATAAACGGACAAACAGCGCCTCTAATATCTGACCACAAACTGAAGGGGCTGCTCGTCGCCCACGGTGCAACATTATCTCTATCCCTGTCTCGACGGGTAACCCACGTTATCATCGGGAAACCGAATTCGGGGCCTGGGCGTGGCGGGGCTGGGGGTGGGTTGGCTGCTGGGAAGATCCAGAAGGAGATACAGAGAGGTGGCTGGAGGGGGATGAGGATTGTTGGTGTTGAGTGGTACGCTTGCTACTTCCCTTTATTGTTGAATGTTCCTCTAGGTCATACCTCGGGCTGGGGTTGAAAGCTAATACTTCATGAATAGGGTGTTGGCGAGCGTGAAAGCCGGGAAAAGGGTCCCTGAGACGAGGTTTACAGTTAACTTGTCTAATCAAAGGAGTGTGCTGGGCTTCATGTAGCAAAGTTCGCTTTTTTGTCTCTCATGCTTATGTTTATGCTTTATTAAGTCTAAGATACCCTCATATCACATTATTATATCATATTTATACATTATCATATATATCGTGTCATGCTTGTGTTTCATGAACCAAATCATTTGTTTCCCCCGCTACTTGCCGAATCGTGTCGGCGCCATCCACTCTGTCTCCGTGGAATGGGTAACAGCGAACCTATGCTGCTCTCGGAGTGCTGTGGCGGCTGCGGTGGTTGTTGATCCGTCTCTGTATGAGAGCGCAGGTCCAATTCCGACTCGTCATCCGGTAGCGGAGGCAGCGGGTTCACACGGAGTTTCGGAGGGTATAGAGATGCATGCGAGACTGCGCGTTGCCCAGAGGGTAGGCGGTCTTGTCTTTCGCGGTCATATTCATCGTGGTCGTAGTTGTCGTTGTTATAATCGTCATGGCTGCTCTGTGAGCCAGATCTTTCAAGCTTTTCATTCATGTATTCTGCGACAGTGTCACCCTGGACAAGTCCGAGGTGTTCCTCTTCAGAGGTCATATTCCGTTCATGGCCGCGGCGGAGAATGCCACGAGGACTGCGTAGTGGACTCCGCGGTGGCTCGACTGGTGATTTGATCTTATTGAAGATATTGTGGAACGAAAAGTTACGGTGCATTGGTGGTGTTGGGGCAGTTAACCGACGTTGGTCGTCGTGTTGATCCTCGTCTGCCCATGAGATGGCCCGCGGACGGTTCGGCCCTGGGTAACTGGTGTCGATATTCCTTGTGTCCGATCCCGGTGCAGGTTCATTAGTGGGATAGTGGTCATCAGGTACTGGTCTCCAAGGGGAGTTCATGATGCTAGATGTCCGTGATCGGATCTCGTTCATGAACGAATTCACACTAGGAGTTGATTGGGCATCATCTGACCAATCCTCGGGAAAGCGGGACATTCCAAGTGGAGGTAATGGAGTGGGCGTGCGTCGTTGAGACTTCTCACTGAGGACGGTCTTGCGCCTACGTAGCCCATCCCATTCGACAACCTCGTCATCGGCCGGTGGCCTAAGGCCGTCTTCATGCCTCTCGTTGAAATAGCGACGTGCTTCCTCGGCCTCGACATTACGGCGTGGAGTGGATAAGCGGCGAATGATGGCCGCTGTTCCGCGGATGGCATCGGCCTTTGGTTCATATTCCGGTTCTTCCTGGGTTGCAACTTCTCGGATTTGATCAAGATCGCCCTTGAAAACGGCGGCATCTGGGACATCCTTGGAGGACTTGGAGAGTTGTAGCAATACCACGCCTGCGCAGATCTGCAGAAAGCCAAGAATAACCGTAGCAATTTGCATGCCTGACCCTTTGAAGCCTCGGAAGAGGACGGCGGAAGAGATAATTGTAGAACTGGTGAAAAATACGTAATATGTGGGGGTGACCAGGGCAGCGTTGAAGATGTTTAGTGCTTTCTGTTCCTTGTTAGCATAGTCCATCACGGGTTGGGGCAAGAGCACTCACATTGAGATAGATGATCTCAGTCAATAAAGTCGCAATCACAAATACAAGTAGGACATACATGAACCACTCTTTGAATTGAGATTCACCATTGATCTGAGCGAGAAATGCTGCCCCTAATCCCTGAGTAGCCACCACACTCAAGCCTCCGATCAAACTGCAGATGCTGATGTAGACGAACATACTCTGCTTGCCGTATCGCGGCCCTGCCCATATAGCGGTTGCTGCACACGCCACAATGATAACCCCCGCATATGTCAGAAATCCAGGCGCAATGACATAACCTTTCATTTCCTGGATATCGGCGACAGATGATTGCTCCGGCGCATTCAAAGCAATGACCACCGAACCCAGAATACAGGTGAAACACCCCACTTTGCCCACAAAGCTTAGTCGCTCTTTGAGAAATATCGCAGACAGAATCGTTGTGATCACAACAGAGAGAGCGCCTAGAGGCGTCACCAAGATGGCATCAACGAAAGCGTAAGCAACAAAGTTGCAGATTTCGCCAATAATCATTAGGGTCATCCCCGACCACCACCACAGATTCTTCAAGTAGCCATATCCTTCACCGGCCTCCTCATTGTATTTGACATTTGCTCGCAGGAGCCCGACTTTCTTCAGCACGAACGAAACTCCAATGAAGACGCCAGATGCGACAGCCAATGATATTCCGATCGCTTTGTAGGCTGGCGGACGGTCACCACCGCTGCTGACCCCGGAACGAGCAACCAAATCCATGTCCATGGTACTGCCCGCAGTATCAAAGACAGAGGTAGTATATAGTGACCGGGAATCGAGCACGAAAAGATAGGACGGTTATATATAGATCTAGGCCATGCCTGGGGATCGACAAGATGAAACGGGACAGCGTTTGACGGCGGTTAGGAATGCGGGCGGGCGGGCGTTATTGGCGCTCAGGAATGCGGACAAAGAGGCCGAACAGGTTGAGGACGAGAATAAGTAGAGGAGAAGAGAAGAGAAAATGAAACAAAGAATTCAGGGGAAAAGAGCTAAGACGAGGCAAATGGTGGAGCTGACTGCATCATGATTGATGGATCGATGGACTGTCGAGGAGGCTGGGAGTGGGAAACTGCGTGACCCACCATCATCGTCCTCGGTGCTCGTCTGCCGTCTTTTCGATATTAGCTTCCATTATTAGATGGCAGACAAATATTCCGCGGGGCTTGGATGGGATCCGGACGATTGGTTTCGAAGATAACCCTGAGACCAGGCGTTGGCGAACCGTGGAATGGCACATGGCTCTCCAACAACATCGGTCTGGAACTCTGCCATGGTTCTACACCCACTCACTCCGTTTCTAATTTCATCCACGACTCTTCCTTAATTTAGAAATCAACAGATATTATTCAACTGCAGGCATACTTGCTAATGGGTAAATAAAAAAACAGGTAAATCGAAATCTCCAGCGGAAGTAGTTGCCCACCGTCTCTTCTGTCTTCGGTCTTGCGGCGACTCAGGCCAGCAGACAGCCTCGACAAGGTCGCATCGGAGTCAGAGCGCTAATGTGCCGCCGCTGATACGGGCAAAACCCATGGATCTCACTTCTGTGGTCGTCATCCTCGATAATAACAATCCACTGAGGGGAAACAACGCGAGGCCATAACTTAGGGCTAAGCATCCTGCGGAGGATTTCCCGTCCGTTGCCCAGAGCCCAAGCCCGATCAGGCCTCTCTAAGTCTTTCTTCGGTTAGTTGGAGGGTCTGGAGGGTTTGCTAGCTGATCGCAGAATAGCCCGATCGTTGAGGGAGCAACGCCTGCAGAGAGCAGACAAGAACTGCAGAAGACAGCATTGCTCCGTGCCGACTTCGATGCACGGAATCGTTGATAGATGAAAAGTAAGGTCGTACTTAAGAGTATACTTTGACATCGGCAAGGGACATTGATCGCGATCTTGTTTCGTTCGGCCACGTGCATTCCTTGGGCGATGCATAGAGTTATGCTCATAAGTGGTATATTAGTAATCAACATAAATTCCAATTAAGCTCGCGTCACGAGCCGACGCGTCGAGCTCCAAGTTTCGTGATTTCGTGAGAGCTGCCAGAACGCTCGACATCACAACTTCGAGCTTTAAGGTACAAGATTGCGGCTGAAAATATGGCTTTGCTCGTCGATAAGCTGCGGCCACGGTCGCTAGATACACTCTCGTACCACAATGAGCTCTCCGCACGATTAAGGTCTTTGGTATGGAAATTGACCATCTGTTTGAGATCAAGCTCTAACTGATTTTCTCCCCATTTCAGGCCCAAAGCGGCGATTTCCCACATCTTCTCATGTATGGGCCATCCGGTGCAGGCAAGAAAACTCGCACAATTGCCACCCTCAAAGAACTCTACGGCTCCGGTGTCGAGAGAATCAAGATCGACAACCGAGTCTTCCAAACAACCAGCAACCGAAAGCTTGAGTTTAACATTGTCTCCTCCGTAAACCACCTCGAAATCACGCCGTCAGATGTAGGCAACTACGACCGTGTCGTCGTCCAGGAACTTCTCAAAGAAATCGCCCAAACGCAACAAGTCGATCTCACAGCGAAACATCGATTCAAGGTTGTGGTTATCAACGAGGCGGACCATTTGACTCGCGATGCGCAAGCTGCACTCAGACGGACTATGGAGAAATACAGCCCTAATCTGAGATTGATCCTCTTAGCGAACAGCACGTCGAACATCATCGCTCCTATCCGTTCGCGAACTCTGCTGGTTAGGGTTGCGGCACCGAGCGAGGAGGATATTTGTGCTGTTTTGGGCAATGCTGCGAAGAAGGAGGGGTGGAACGTGGCTCCAGGACTGAATAAACGCATTGCAAGCGAGAGCGGCCGGAATCTTCGGCGCGCTCTGCTCATGTTTGAGGCTATCTATGCTCAGAGGTATGAGCCTTTGGAAGACTTTCCGGGCCCTTTAAACTAACCGCGTTCCACGTTAGTGAGAAAGTAACCGACAGTACAGCGATCCCACCACCGGACTGGGAAGCCCTTATCTCGTTGGTAGCGGAGGAAATTCTCGCAGAGAGATCACCGGCCCGGCTACTACAAGTCCGTGCCAGGTTATATGACCTTCTAACCCACTGTATCCCTCCTACGACGATTCTCAAGGTACGCTTATTATTGTCTGAGGAGAGTTTGTGCTAACAATTCCCAGACTTTGACGTTCAAATTAATTGCCAAAGTCGACGATACGCTAAAACCCGAAGTAATTAAGTGGTCTGCATTCTACGAGCATAGAATCACACAGGGCTCTGTAAGAGATCCAATTAAAGAATGACCCAATAAACGGCACTAACAAACGCAACAGAAAGTAATTTTCCACCTCGAGGCCTTTGTTGCCAAGTTTATGCGTATCTATGAAAGGTTCGCAACCCCGTCCCTCCAAGCTATGTTAGGTTTAACTGACTGAAACCCCACGCAGTTATTTGATGGGCATGGACTTTTAGATACTAAACACATGAACTGGCAACTATTAATGATTTACTAATGATTTTTACATTCTGCTAACCTGTAAGATTCCCATCTTCGTAGCTTTAACCCACAAACCCCTTAAAGTGCCCCATACGGCAATACATTCTCTATAATGTAGTCAACTGCCTCGCCCCGATATGTATCTTCCTCAATACTCGACCCATATCCGCTAAACACCATGCTCATACCATCTGTCCCATACACAGGCCATTCCGGAAGCGTACTATCTGTTCGCATAGTCCCATCAGAACGAATCCTTTTTGCAAGTGCAACACACGAACGAAACAAAGACAAAAACTGACCTGCCCCAGAATTTGGATCGAGCCCATGCACAAACGAAACCCAAGCACTACTAAGCTCATACGCCAACGCCCGGTCCCACGGATGGTCAGGGACGAGGTTCGAAAAGACGTAGCGCTGTTCAACGCCGGTCCCGATGCCGGTTGTTATATTTGATGCGTCTGTGTCGTGTGGGAGGTGGTTGAACCTGTACCTGTATACCGGCGCGTTAGCACCACTGCGGTTATTTTTGGTGAGCCATTGCGCGATCATGCGAGCGGGCGCGATTTGGACGATGTCGCCAAAGATTGAGCAGGCTTTTTTGTCTAGTTTTCCGGGTGTCAAGGGCGTGGAGCCGGTGTTGTAGGGGCAGCCGTGACGTGGGTCGTTGGTGTACAGGGCGAGGAGTTTAGATACGGTTGAGTTGGGGAGGAGCGTAGGTCTGTGAAAGCCTCCGGCTATTTTACAAAATCAGTATCATAGCCATACTCGGCATCATCCCAATGTAGCATACCAAGGGGACCGCGCAGTTGGGCAGTGGTATTTATTCCCGTTGGGGCTGAGTTGGTTCCTTCGTCTGTGTTTGCTGTCGTATAGAGTTAGGGCTTGGCTGTCTCTTCAGCGGGGGAATTGGGTACGTACTTCCGACTATTGTGGGAACTTTGACGTACTTTTCCGCTTGCAATGCGAAGTGAATCGAGGTCTGTGTGAAACTGCCATCAATTGACTGACCCGTGTTTGGACCTACACTCGAGAGAAGTGTCTTGATTGGAAGCTTTCGAATACAGTCGAGTTGTTCTGTAGGCGGAGCATCTGCGAATGAGGAGCAGGAGGTGTTTGTTATGAGACCATCGAAAGTGTCTTGAAAAGACGATGTATTAGCAGAAGTTAAAGGGAAAGCACCGCCGCTTTCTAGGATCCCTGCCCGAAAGAGTCTGTCGTCTCGGCCTCCATATGCCATCATGTGGGAGTAGACCGATACAGCCCCTGCACTGTATTGCTGAATTAGATATACTCAATAACAGAGGACTGACTGCAAAAGTTGATTGACTTACGACTCTCCAGCAATTGTTACTGCAGGCGTTTAGCTAATTTATGTCATAAATGTGGACGTTGCTGGGTGTATACCTTTACTAGGGTCCCCTCCAAATGAAGCAATGTTTTCTTGAATCCAACACAATGCCAGTCGCTGATCCAACATTCCAAGATTGAGCAAGCCGAGATCTGTCATTTGTTGCCCATTCAAGAACCCAAGAGGCCCGAGTCGATAGTTCTGCAAGCCCGTTATGAGTGTTTACCGGCGAACTGGGCCTTTTGATCACACGCACCACTGAGACGACCATAATCTCCTTGTTGATTTCGGAAGATATGCGAACAAAATTGGTTCCTTCGAACCTAGGGTCTGCCTACTCCATTTAGTAAGATTCTTTGGTACCTCAGCAGTCACGAACCGTGTATCCAGTCTGTAGCCCCCCGCCATAAAACCAGACCATCACAGGCTTGAGTGAATTGTCTTTATTCTGCCCGGCCGGGCGCCATATGTTCAATGTTAAACATTCCTCACTTGAATTTGGATTCGAATCTATTTCTGGCCCATAGCAGGCTGGTCCGAAAGACTGCGCATGCACAGTGTCGAACGATGTGTTCAATGGTATCGCATGCCGTAGACGAAGGTCGCCTACCGGGGGTTGAGCGTAGGGAATACCTAGAAAGCGTTGTACCTGACTTCTCTCATCGTTGACCCCAATAACAGTTCCGTTGCGAATCTTGACCGATACTGAAGAACGCAGAGGGTCAACAAGTGCGATGGCTTGTCCCAATAGGTATGCAATGAGCAATAGCTTTGCGTTGAGAAACATAGTTTCTGCTTGCGATTGAATTCTCTTCTCTCGTTTCCAAAGCAGAGTATTTGGCCCACTGACGTTTTTGAAAGCACCGGACGTTGTATGTTGAAGCTCTCTTCAACAGCTCCCCACTGTCCCCACGCTTTCAGCCATCGCGAGTGTCCCCACCCCCAGGTATTGCTGTGCGGGGGATGTTTAGCAGGTGAGAAGCATCCTTGGAGTATCCCAATATTCATTGAAGAACTCATAATACGGACAGCCTAGGCACTACAAGCAGAGATGTCTCCACTCCCATTACGTGCAACTGAAAGCATCCGCTGAAGTCTCGGATGCACGTACGGAGGTCGCGGTCTTAGAGAGAAACACGAAAGGTTGTTACAAAATAAAAATAAACCACTTCTAATTGTGACTAGCTGAAAGAATTAAAGAAGGGACCGGCAGTGTATGTACTACATATACCTAGTTGTCACCCTACCACCATCACGCAGCGGTATAGGTTTTGCTTTGCCAGCATTCTAGCGCTGAATTATGTTTATATATTTGAATACAAGGAGGGTAATTTAAGCTTAGAGCTATCCCGCTGAGAAAAGTAATTGTGGCGAGGGTGGATTACGAAGGTGTACGGTGTAACTATAGGCCTGTTGATTGCCTATGGAGCACTTGAACGGCGAGTACACAGAGTGGCCAACGATGCATTATCCAGCAAAAACGAAAGGCAATTACAAGGTAGCTAAACCGTTAGATCGTGTTTGCCGTGGATTCAGGTATGATTCTAAGGCGTGTAAACAGAAGGGTCGAGAACGAGTATCGACGTCATACTCCCATCGCAGTTATTTAGGTCCACTGACGACCTTCAACTCCCCGCCCAACTTGAAGGAGGAAGACAATTTACCAGATCTCACGATTACCTGGTTATTATTAGTACGGGCTATTTGATACCCCCGCGTTCGCTGTAATATACAAAAAGTATCTGCGCCATGTCTGACCGAAAACTCATGGATATTGAGCCTGGTGGCGAACAAACGCAGTAAGTTTATAACGAGAATCCCAGTGCAATATCGACAGATACTAACTATGTGCACAGATACGAAGGCTCTCGAGTGTTCACCGTCACACCAGACAAGCAGACTGGACAGCTAGGTGGTAACGGCTCCTTCCAAAGCGCTGGTCTGGCCTGACTGACCCCTTCTTAGGGAATCTTCCACACACCAAGAGCGAAATGAGAACGAGAATTACGGGCGACCATAGTGAGGCAAAGGCTAAAAGGGAGGAGGCCCAATTGGCGCATAAGCTCGAACTCGGAGAAGGCACTTCTGGCATATCCGGCTATACAAACAGAGGACCGGTATTTCCTTTCCCTATGAACTCCTATATGCGACACCTCTTTATGTGATAATAAGACAAAAGAGAGCCCAAAGCTGATGATAATGTACATGATACTTAAAGGTTGAAACCGAAGACGACGCTGCCAAGTCTAGGAGAGAACAAGGGTATGGCCCTGGTTCTGGTGTTGGTGCGTAGGTGCCGAGGGGGCCAGGCCAGAAATGGTAGGGGTAGAATGCGATAATCTTATTTATTGCGACGCCGAGGGACTGGAAGATGTAGACTTTGGAGGATTGGGCATATCCTTGGTTCCGAGAGGTGTAGCTCTTCGAGGTCGCTTCAGGCTTTCCAGTGTGACACCATTGCCGAGCTTTGTTAAGCCAACAACTGGCGGATCGTCCTTGTTCACGAATTCCCAGAGACCTGAATATAGTTAATTACTTGAACTCTTTGGCTGCTTTGCCCGTATTTTAAGACAACTTACCGGGTAACTTGTGACCTGCTAGACGGAAGGCTTCTCGCGCAACCTTTTCGTGAATATTGCCCTTGAGTTCGAAGACAATCCTGCTCACACCGACCTTCGCAGTCCAGTAATCGAATTTACCTTTACCCTTACCCATACGCTGCTCGTTTCCCTTGGTGTAAACACCAATGTTGGCGCTCACGCGCTTGTATAATGTGTAGTTCATTCCCCTAAGACGCCTTTTGATAGTCTCTTCCGCAATCTTGAGCGAAGAGGCCGGCACTCGGCGGTCATGGTCTTTCATCCGAAGTCCGTAGTCTCCCCACACCACCGTTGTCCCTCGCGATGAACCTCCGGTCGCGACATGTGGACGGCCTTTAGGAGACTTTGATGTTTCCGGCTGTTTCGGTGTGAGCCAGTCAAAAGCCGGCGACGTTGTAGAAAAGCATCGTGATAGCGGGAGAATTGGTATGGAGGATCGGAGACCGAGTGCTGGAAACGCATCAGTTTAGCCGTAAAACTTTTTCGTCTAGAGGTTAATGCTCACACGTTGGCTGAAAACAGGTCAGCTGCGGCCGCGCCAGATATCTGAGGTGCGAAGCCATCGCAATTATCGACCACGACGCTTAGCTTTCGGCGGAATGAAACAATACTGAGAGCCAGAGAGTTTCTGGCCATCGGACTCTGCGCCTCAAAAGTTTCTCCGCTCCGTTCCCGAAAGGGAAGGCGAATATTTGGCTCCGCCCTGGTCTGCACGTGCCATTTACCTCAATTACATAAGCCAATTAATCGCGTGTTGGAGCTCTAGGCAGGCGCGTCGCGCGGTCTTGCCAAGCCGAGACGTTCTGAATCCGAGCTGTCTTGTATTGAACGACAGCCATTCTGGCTTCGTCTCCGATTTCTTGAAAACCTCATCTGCTTGGAAGTGTTTCTGTGGACGTGACTTATCATGCCGGCTGATATTAGGAACTTCTTCGGTGGCAAGTCGAGTCAAGGCTCAAGCTCGTCGCCTGCGAAACCACCTGCGAAGAAAGAAGTATGTATCTCGCTTTGCATATGTTACTCAAAATCTACTTCGCGTGCGTATATTCCATTGAGAATGACTGCTAACCCTGCGATGGCAATAGACTCCAGCTCGGAACAAGCGTAAGACTTGCGACGGAATATACTATGAGGAACATCTTATTGATCTGCCATAGGGACTAGGAAGGTTGTCGACGACAGTGACGATGATGAGGCTGTGGTAACCGAGGCTCCGGCTCCAAAGGCGAAGCCCCCGAGCAAACAGTATGTTCTCTGGTGTCAGATTATAGCTTATTGGCTAACATATGATTCCAAGGAAACCCGAAGCACCGGAGGGAGAACCAACAACGACTTCAGACTATTTCTCGTCAAGCAAAAAAAGAGGGAGGCCCGCTAAGACCGCTGGCGAAGCTGTGAAGAAAGACGACCAGACGTCCAAAGATGGTCCTACAAAAACGGAGAACACAAAAATCACTAAGGAGCTTACAGAACGTTCAAAAGCCAACTCTCACCGCGAAGTGAAACCAGCCCCTGCACTTCTCGACGATGAAAAGCTAGGCGATGATGATATCTTTGCAACCGAGTATAACAAGCCGGGGAAAGGTGGTGATGGTTACAAGGAGGAAGATGACGACGAGAGCGATGATTTTGATATTCCGGTGAAACCTGCCAAAGGTGCTCGAGGCCGACCAGCGTCTAAAAAGCGTTCCGCTCTGGATGAATCTGACGACGACGTGGTTATGGAGGATGCGCCTCGAAAGCCGACGAGCGCAGCGAAATCGGCGACTCCCCAAAAGCAACGGAAACGAAAATCCGAGGCCATTGACAAGGACGATGATGAATTCCAAGTTTCTCCCAAGAAAGCCGGGGCCGCTGCGAAACCAAAGAAGCCAAGAGCGTCGACCGTGAAACTAGATCAGCCGGAAAGCAAAGAAATTCAGGACATTTTCGACAGCATCCCGACGATAAGGCCTCCCTCGCCTCCGGCAGGATCCGGCGAGAAGAAAAAGTTTCCTTTTGGAGGAAGGTCAAGATCTCCTGTTTCAGGGAGCGCGACAATCCCTGCTGGAGCAGAGAATTGTCTTGCAGGACTGTCGTTTGTTTTCACCGGTGTCCTTGACACACTCGGCCGTGAGGAAGGCCAAGCCCTAGTGAAGAAATACGGTGGCAAAGTTACGACAGGCCCTAGCAGCAAAACAAACTACGTTGTTTTAGGAAGCGATGCAGGACCGAAGAAGCTTGAGACTATTCAAAAGAACAAATTGAAAACCATCAATGAGGAGGGATTATTCGAACTCATTCGTCGTCTTCCCGCAAACGGTGGTGATGGAAAAGCGGCCGAAAAGTACGAAGCCAAGAAGAAAGCTGACGAAGAAAAGGTCCGACAAATGGCGGCTGAGATTGACCAGGAGGAAAAGCGCAAAGAGGCAGAGAAACTTAAAGCAAAGAAAAGCACAAATGATACTAAGGACAAGAAGGACATCAAGGGCTCCCAGGAAACCAAGGAGACCAAGGTTGATGACCTCCTTTGGACCTCAAAATATGCACCAACATCCTTGAATATGATATGCGGCAACAAGGGCGCAGTTGATAAGCTGCAAGGCTGGCTTAGAGACTGGCGGAAGAACGCTAAGGCCAACTTCATGAAACCAGGTAAAGATGGGTTTGGGACCTATCGCTCAGTTATGGTTCATGGACCTCCCGGAATTGGCAAAACAACCGCGGCGCATCTGGTAGCGAAGCTTGAAGGCTACGATGTTGTCGAATCGAATGCAAGTGACACGAGAAGTAAGAAGCTTGTTGAGACTGGTCTTCTAGGCGTCCTCGATACTACCTCTTTACAGGGTTACTTTGCGACATCCGAAGAAAAGGTTGAGAGCAAGAAAAAGAACCTCGTCCTGATCATGGACGAGGTGGATGGAATGTCTGCTGGTGATCGAGGTGGTGTTGGAGCGATGGCCGCCATCGCAAAGAAGACACAGATTCCTCTTATTCTAATTTGCAATGAGCGGCGACTCCCGAAAATGAAACCTTTTGACCATGTTACGTTTGAGGTTCCTTTCAGACGACCCACTGTCGAGCAAATTCGAGCCCGGCTTTTGACCATCTGCTTCCGAGAGGGAATGAAAATTCCAGCACAGGTTCTAGATAGCCTAATAGAGGGAACGCATGCAGATATTCGACAGGTGATAAACATGCTTTCGGCTGTCAGACTAGACCAGAACGGTCTGGATTACGACAAAGGGAAACAAATGTCTAAGGCTTGGGAGAAACATATAATTCTCAAGCCATGGGATATTGTTGGGAAAATTTTGAGCCCGCAAATGTTCTCTCCAAGTTCCACCGCCTCACTTAACGACAAGACCGAACTGTATTTCAATGACCATGAGTTCAGCTACTTGATGCTTCAAGAAAATTATCTGAGAACGAGACCGACACGCGCCAGCAACCTCCAGGGAAAAGAGCATAAGCTGAAACTATTAGAACTAGCGGACAATGCGTCATCAAGTATTAGCGATGGCGACCTTGTTGACAGGATGATCCATGGTAGCCAGCAACAATGGAGCCTGATGCCAACACACGCTATGTTCAGTTTTGTGCGACCAGCAAGCTTTAGTTACGGAAATATGATGGAACGCCCTGGCTTTACCAGCTGGTTGGGGCAGAATAGTAAACAAGGTATGCATTTCCTCCCAACTAACCACATAAGTGACTAACATGGTGTTCCTAGGGAAACTTTCTCGGTACGTGAAAGAAATTCAAGGACGCATGCGCCTTCACGCTTCCGGAGACCGCCATGAGGTTCGACAACAGTACATACCGCTCTTGTGGGACAAGCTTGTCAAGCGATTGATGGATGATGGTAAAGATGGCGTTGAAGATGTGATTTCCTGCATGGACAGTTATTTCCTGACTCGGGATGACTGGGATGCGCTGGTTGAGCTTGGACTTGGGCCTATGGATGAGTCCAAAGTCAAGTTGGAGACACAGACCAAAGCTACTTTTACACGTCTTTACAACCAGCGCTCACATCCTCTTCCATATATGAAGGCCAGTAACATTCTCGCGCCGAAGAAGCCGCAGAAGGAGAAGCCTGATATCGAGGATGCGATCGACGAGTCGGACGACGAAGAGGTTCTTGCAGACGAGTCTAAAGATGGTGACGAGGACGAGGAGATCGATCTTAAGAAGGATAAACTTATTCGCATGCCCAAGAAGTCTGCAAAGAAAGGCACGGCAAAGGGTGGTGCTGCAAAAGGCAAGGGCAAGTCAAAGAAGGCAAGCGAAGATGATTTTATCGATGATGGTGAAGATGAACCGAAGGCAAAGAAAGCGCGAGGCCGAAAACCCAAGGCAAAAGCGTAAAGCAGTGATAGTTTATTGTTGGCGTATACTTGCAACTTGAGCGGGTCTGGAATTTCATATGTAATATAGACCGCATAATGCCAAATATCATCATCTATAGAAAGGCCCAGTAAATAAATAAATGTGCGATGGTTTCCCGTACGATAGCACGGGTGATTCCGTAGATATTGTTGTCGATCTGGTGCCTGTCTATCAGGGCTGACCGGCTGGCTCGCTGACCCGTTGGCGGCGTGTGTGTTTAACTTCTGGTCTTGGCTGATTTCCGGGGAGGCGGAGTCGTTGCGCCAACCTCCCCCTCCTTCGCGTTCGGCTCTGTTGCAACACAGCACGCCAGTGTGGTATCTACGAAACCTGGAGCAACTCCAGGAATAAAATTTATTTAACCACACCATCTTTCTCTTTCTCAAGCCTCGGCCAGGCTGGTCCTGTGCCAGTTTCTCTTTCTCCATTCCCCAGTTTCGGCGTATCCAATCTCACTCCGCATCACGGGAAATGACCACAGGACATTTCTCCTCTCTTTATTGACCCACGACTCATATATTCCGGCTTGTGGCGACGCGGTTCATGATTCTGGATTACTCGCTGGACCCCCTAGCTCGAATGGAAAATGTCTCTCCTCCATAATGAAGAGTAGGTTTTGAAGCCTCTCCCCTCCAGCGTCTCACCTTTATGACAAAGCTGACGGTGTATAGCTTCACGATATGGCAGCTGCGCACTTCTTACCTCTCTACGATCAAGGATGGCATTGGTGACAGGCTTATCAATGTGAACCAGTCCGTACTTAACGCGCCTGGATTCCGCGCCGCAGGCTGGCCGACAGCTTCCACGAACCAGCCCTCGCAACTTGCGGCTAGCATCAAACGAGCATACTCCCCTCCGATCCCTACAACCACCGCGGTTTCATCCGAGTATTACCAAATAAACACTAGGGATGTGAATGATTCGCAAAGATTTGGGCTCGGGGAGGACGGAGAAGACGATGAGGGGGGTATGGTAACGGGGAGATCAACTACGGATATGGTTAGCCGCCGTTTACATCTACGAAACGAAAAGCGAATGCATCGAAGAGATCGCCAGCAAAGAGAACAACAGAAGGCAAGGGAAAGGGAGATCGAAGAGGAAGACAGCAGTGATTTGAGTGATGAGAGTGACGAGGAAGGAGTTGCTCCACAGCGACATAGTGAAGAGATCAAATTCGAAAAGGTGCCTGTACGGACCAGGGCGGACTCATCACCCATCAGGACATCTGACCGCCAAGAAAGGCCCCAAGTTATGATTACGCAC